AAAGAAACCTTGAAGTTCTCATGTAAAGATTTTGATAAAATGTTATTTTAATTTCAGTGCTTTCTACATATTTGTAGGAATTAAAAGACAAGGGCTGGAATACTCCAGAAGTGAAATGTAAAATATTAGGAAAATTATCTTCATGCAAAATTGAATCTAGGCAATGTGGATTATACTTTGAAGAAAAATCATGCATTTTAGAATTTCCCTATCAGAATAGACAAGTGAATAAACCACAGAGTTTACTGTGTCTTTAGAGATCACTTCAGCATAAAACTGGCTGTTGCACTTACAAATATAGTAGCTCTGCTTGGTATTGATCACTTCTTTAAACTGATGATATATAATTGCAAGTTTATTGCTATCATTAATGATATTGTTGTGCTATTATCTATTAATATTGTTATATATGCACATTTAGGATGAAAGCCGTTTCATTCTGTACATATATCAACAAATGGTAGGTGTATACATATATATATATCCAATGTGATGAAAACGAAAGTAATATATTTTGACCAGTGTTTATCAGCAAAAAAATTTTCACAGACCAGTCAACATTAAACACCCAATCCATTATTCATCAAACTGCTATCAACAAGCACTATTGTTTCACTCTGTCATCTATTTTTTTTTATGTATATTTTTCTTCTCAAACAAATAGAAAAAAGGAAGTGATGTATCACATACGTCTTGCCTACAAGCAGGATTGTTCATAACCATTTTCGATTCTCACCCGTCAAAGTGCAGTTGAAATGCACTGAAACCAAGTTGCATCTTTGTAGTGAGTAAAATGCTTTTGTCTATATGATAAAATATATATATATATATATATATATATATATATATATATATATATATATATATATATATATATATATATATATATAATTTCAAGTTCTCAAATAGTCACATTGTTTAAAGCTTTAAAATGGGCTCTAAGATTGATTTGAGAGACATATATTTAATAACTTCAGAGATTGTACAAGTTAAAACAATATTAAAAAATTGGAACAAATGAAGAAGTTTGTTGAAGATCCAGAATGTAAGTCTGAGAAGTAGTGAAGAAGTAGTCTTATATTTATTTTTCATTTTAATTTCAATTGCTCTTTATGTTTTCTGATCCAGACTGCTTACTAATAATGGGTGGGGAAAGATGATCTAGGAGTTACAATGGAAAGCAAATTAAATAAAAATAAAAGAAATATTAGTCCCAAATTAATAATTGACTATGCTTCATCTAAGAAATTAAAATAATATGACAGGTAATTCTGTTTTGAACAGTGCCCATCTCCTCTCTGTGTAACAGGCAAAAGGTCATATAAAAAAATCAGGCTGAAATTGTAGTGGAGACTTATCTCGGCTACCCAAAAGGGCCAGAGTCACATGTATGTTTTGCAATGGAGTGTGGAGATGGCAAATTGGTGAGCTTCAGACTGAAGGTGAATCGGGCAGCATTTCGTCTGGGTGGAAGTGGTGGTGTTGCTTGTAGCCATTTTTATTGACTAGTTCTAGGTACTCATTGGCTGAGTGATGGCTGGGTCAAGTGCATAAAACAGAGTATGCTCATTCAAAGGGAGGAGTGTTTCTGATGTGGAATAGCGTACTTGAAATTGAGGAATGGAGATAACTGGAGATTATTTGCCTATTGGACTTGAAATCAAATGAGCCCTTATGACCACATATGCAACAGATGCTTTTGATCAGTTCATGGCGCGACGACTTCGACAGGATGAGACAGTGGATGAACTTTTGGCCGAGTTGCATCACCTGGCTCGACTGGTAGGAGGATCATTTCCCGAACTTTGGATGGAATGTGCATTTGTATTTAGTCTGCCACAACATGTTTGACAGCTTCTCTGTGTGTTATCCAGGATGGGTACTATGACTGTGGAGCAGTTGCTAATCTGGGCTCAGGCTATCATGACTGATAACAAGGGGGACAAGAAATTGGTGGCTGTGTCTGCTCAACAAACATGTACAGACAAGGAAGTTCTTTCCTCTAACTCATGCAGAGGGCTGTCATTTGCTATAGGTGCTCTGGGCCTAATCATATGGCCAGAAACTGTATGCAGTGGTGTTCAGAGGGGACAGATAATTGAGTGCGAAGGAACCACTGTGAGATATGTTTTAAATGCGACAAGATTTGGCACATATCATCGGAGTGCACATATCAGTGAAATGCCTGAGGGAAGAGGATGTCAGTGCTAGTCTTCTTCCCAAGCAATTAAAGAAACGGAAACTGCCTGCTGTAGAGGTATTTGTTGAAGGACAAAAGTGTGCCGCTTTGGTGGACTCTGGGTACTCACAGACACTGGTGAGCAAAGCTGTATGCTGTCCTTGGAGGCAGAAGGAAGTAGAAGTGCTAACATTTGATGAGAGAACCTTGAAGTGCTGTGGGTACAGCAAAATCAAGTTGGACATTGGGCAGGCTCGTCCTGTGACTATTGAGGCCCTGATCGCAGATAGGCGATTCTTGGGATTTGATCTTCTCGGGATTGACACAGTCAGGGAGCTCGGAGGCATGCACCTAACCAGATTGGGTGAAGTGAGCTTTCCTGATGGAAACCAAAACCTGTGCACCACCATTTCTATTGACAAGCCTGACTTCAGTGTGACATTTGACCAAAATAATAAGCTGTGGACTACCTCATAGAAATAGGCAAGTGGTCATGTACCTGGTGAGCTGAAAAATAAAGTGCAGAGCATACACAGTGCTTGACTATGCTCGGGATGTTTATAAGAACTATTGTGGCAGTATAATGGATGGCTGTTGCCATGTCCTGAAAAAGAGCTTGATGGCTTCGTTCGATGGAAATGGGGAAGCGAAGCCCTGGACGTTCCACAGATTGTCACCCATCAGAGTATCTTTCCCTGTGTGGGAAATTTGTGGGTTATTTCCCTGTGTGTGGATGGCTCAGGGTGGCAACTGCATTCATAAAGTGGCAGGCAAGTACAGTGATTTGGATAGACGCAAGTTCTGTTGCCACAGGAGTGGTATTAGAAGTGAATAGGAGCATTGTGGAGGATGCTTGTTGGCTATGTCCAACTGAAGATGTCAAGCATATTAATCTGGCTGAGCTCGATGCAGCAATAAAAGGTGTAAATCTTGCCCTTCAATAGCGGGTATCGGTGTTACATTTGGTTATGGATTTGACATGCATGTGTCAATGGATATCTGACACCCTGACTGGGAAGGCACGAGGGAACATAAAGGCGGATGGTGAGATGCTGGTAAGGTGGTGCTTAGAGACATTGTGAGCATTGGCAGAGGAATATGCCTTAACGATAGATGTGATGCTGGTGAAATCCTGTTTAAACTGCAGACTGCCTTACCTAAGTGCCACAGCGGTGGTTGGATTTATGTAGGCAAGGAGAAGTCTCAGTGCTGGAAGGCTGCTCCACTGTGGGGAGCAGATTGAACGAGAATCAGGTGACCAGCATCCACCACCAAAGTCACCACTTGGGCGTGAAAGGAACTTATACTTTGCTAGGTCTGTTGACTCATTAGTCTCTAGAAAGCTTTTCAAATCTGTTGTCAAAGCCTGCGAAGCCTGTTGATCAATTGATCCAGCATCAGTGTGTTGGAAGAAAGGAACCATGGGTGTAAAGCTAACCTGGAGCAGGTTAACAACGGACTCTGCTAGTGTCATTCATCAGCTGGAATCAGTTTTCTACAACTGGGGCCCGCCAACTGAAATATTGATTAATAATGACACTGTGTTCGCTTGTTAGCACTTCAAGAACTTTTTAAGTAGCTGGGGGGATGCACTTGAGTTTCTGATATGCCCATGCACTGACTAGGAATGGGATCGTCAAACACAGTCATAGAAGTATGAAGACCATCACAGTCAGAAAGCAATGTTCAGTGCCAGGGGCAGTCTACTGGCACAATGTCACTCCCAAAGACAGCATTTCATCTTCCACACTGCATAGGTACCACATCCGGGTATAAAACATTGATGCCACACCCTCACTTGAACCACAGAACATTCAAGGGGCATACAAAGAAGAGAACATCGTCTGGGTAAAGACTCCACAGGGTAGCTGCACAACCAAATTCTAAATGGGCCACATAACCCGAGTAATCAGCCTGCAGTTGGTGCAGATTGATGGAGCATCACGGCCCGTCAAGAATTTACACCCTTTTCCATGGTTATATCCACTATCAGACTCCAATAGTGCCACAGAAGAGAGTGAATGATTTGTGTACTTAGAATCAAGTTCACCAGGTGATTCCTCCCATTCCAGCAGTTCAGAGCCTGATACCAAAACACCCAATGTTTCTCAAGGCAGTAGTTTGTCTGAAAACAAGACTTGTGTTGTTCCTCTTTGAAGTGGGCCAGGTGCATAAAAGTATGGTACATTCATTCAAGGAGAGGTGCATTTCAAACAAGAAGTTGCATACTTGAGATTGAGGAACAGAGAAAACTGTAGAATTCATTTGCCTATTTGACTTGTATATAGTTTTCTTTTTTATTTGTGCGTACTTCTGACCAATTCTTCCACAGAAATACTAAACTATTTACCAACCCTGAGGCTAGTAATTTCTTTCAAATAGAAAAGAAAATTGAATGCTGATTTTTCTAGGCAGGTAGACTTTTCTCACTTAGAAGATTGGTATAACACCATGTTCTTACTCTCTCCACCTTTTGACCTTATAACTTATTAAAGTTAGGCTTTGTAAATATTGAGACATGATATATATATATATGCTTGGTTGGTCCCATCATATAGGAATGTGATTGCTGCCATTTCATTCAGTAACTCTCCATTCTCTTACCAGTGTTCATCCTATCTCTGAATAATGTGAGGCTGGTACTACTGACTTACATACTTGGTTCATTCTATGGTCTAAGAAACTGTATGTCATAATAGATTTTTTTTCTTGTTGAAAGATTTTTCTTTATTTGTTTTGTGAATGTTTTATAACAAATTCCCAAATGGCTCTTCAAAAAAACAATTTTTATTTGCAGGAAATTAATCCCATTCTTATCATCATGGAGTGGAATTTGATGAATGCTGATGGTATTCGTAACCTCCGATCCGGTCTGGGTTCCAAGCTGGGTGAAGACTACATAATTGCAGAGGAATGTGAAGGTAATAATTCATCATGATTAGGATCTTATCAATGTGACCAACTAGTCTCATTTTATTTTGATTCAATACAATGTTGCTTAACTTTAATAATGACATATGTAGTATATTATTGAATGTGACTAATAAACTATGTATTTCACATGAATTCCCCATCTACTTAATTTTAAAAAATGGTTATAAGTAGAAAAATTATATGTAAAAGTGTTTTGTGAAGAGTTTGGACATTAATAATTAAAACAGATAGAAAGACAGACATGCATAGACAAATATACCCAGAAAAATAAGGTACTCTATTTTTGAGGTGGCAAATGCTTTTCTTTGGCAACAGTAGCAAGGGTATACCAAGAATATGTCTATCCAAGATAGTGACATGTGAAAACTGTGGACATCCATAGGTGATGCAAGAACAAGATTGCCAGCAGCTAGCAAGGAGTGTTACCACCCAACAAAAGGATATATTAGATCTAATATCATAATTTCCTTAATATATCATCAGTTACTGTATATCACTGTGTCCAGAATATATTGAAGCTAGATCATAGAAGACTGGCATTATGTTGTCCAGTGAGAAGTGTTCATATTTCAGGCAGATGCTCAAGTTTGTATATGGAGGAAACTGCATAAGGCTATGTAGCTGGTATAAGTTGTTGAGTGTGTTCTCTTCACTTGTCATATTGGAGTCTCTTTACAAGTGTGACATACACAGATCTTATTACAGACCTTTTGCAGCTTTTTATGTTTGCCACTGTTTATTTCAGTATTATATTACAAACTCCAATATGTATCGTTGACAAGAAATTGGTTCCAGTGGTACTTGGTCATTGAACACTAAGGCTGCCTGCCTATTGAGCATGTATAAAAGGTTGCACACTTCACTAAATTTCATGCAGCCACAGCCAACTTAAAAATTCAGTTATGCATAGCCACCATTATTCAGATGAATATATATATATATATTAGGTAGTTGTCACTTCAGTTTATATGTAATTTTCATGGTAGATAATAATATACCTTTAACTACTGGGTTACTTCCAACCTTTCACAAAATTAACTAAAATATTGTTAATATTATACATAATTTAAAAACAAATTTTGTCTCTTTTTCAAATCCTTTATTATTCAAGTCAGTGTTGTCACAATAAAGTTGATACTAACCAATTGATGTTAGCATAATTTTCAGCATATACTTATATACCATGGCAATTTCAGTGTATGATATTTATCCTATTGAAAAATAACTTGTCTTGGGGGTGTCAAGTTTTATTATGCAAATAAGTGAACATAAATGTTTATAAATCCATAAGATGTTAGCCACAAGATGGTTCCCTGTACCATCCTGCTATCCTCTACTTTTACAAGATCAGAAAATGGAGTATTGCCACCATATGTGGGCAGGAGCTGCCCAGTCTTCATTTTTCAGGCTTGATAGAGTCCAAGAGTGGGTGATGAATTATTTTTCCACCCTACAATCGCTTTCCCACAGATGAAACATTGCAAACCTCTCACTGCTCTTGCTATTTCCATAAAAAGTTTTCAGATGAACTACATTCCTTAGTTCCACCAGTTCTAACCTTCACAGTTAAAACTCACCATGTCACACATATTGTAGCAAACAACTCTTATTCCCTTCATATTCCATTGGTCAGATCCAACCTTTAGTTCAACCAGCAGGCTCATCCAATATAGCACTATTCTAAAAATAATTGTCGTGAACTCAATTTTCTTCACTGAACTTTTATGTTTATCTTTGTGAGATTTACTTAAAGGTGTAGTTTTTGATTTCATATCTTTAGTCAATGTTTTTTACATTCAGCATCTTTTCTTTCTACATTCACAACACTTCTTTAAATATTTCTTTTTCGATTTCTCTGTGATCTCCATTCAAATTTTTCAGAATTTCCAATTTTATATTCTCGATAACTTTATGATATTGTTTTTCTTTTGACATTATATCTTTCTTGTGATGTATAGTAATCTTCACATACCTGAAATTAAAAAGAAAATATTGGTAACTATGCTATTATATATATTTAATTACAATATATTGAACAACCATTATGCTGCATAAGATCTAACACTACCAAATAAGTTGTAAATATTTTTAATGAAAACAAATATAAACTGAAATTCATGTGATAGATTGTTCATATAAAGAGAAGTATATACTGAAAATTTTACACACATTGGTTGATTAATACCAAGTGTATTTTGAAAACAATGACTTGTACTCACAATGTCAGATTTTGTTGTACATGTGTCATATTTCTGTCCCCTAAATATGAGAAAAGAATATTACACTAAATATTTATTTTTTCTATATAATAACCTTTATGTAAATACTTATAATAATAATAATAATGAAATAGATACAGTGAAAATTTCAAATTGAAATTCAACTGTGCTAGGTAATGGAAATATGACTCCTCTTTCATTATAATCTGTGTGTTTATGTGTATAATCTGTCCAACAAGAGAGCAAGTGCATATTATCAAGTAAAGATAATGTGACAACCATTCCATGAGATTTCAAAGGTTAATGGGCATTTCCTAAAATCATTCAGTGAGTGTAATTTTCCATAAGAAGCTAAAATGAATGTAAAGTCCTTAATCACATTGAACTTTTTCAGTTATGAGTTGCCTTTAGTCAAGATTAAATGCTTATCACATTCATTAGTAGAAAGTGACTTTCAGATAATGGAAAAAGATAGTTAATTAAATATTAACATAACAGTAATTTCTTTTTAAATATCCCTCAAAATATATCCCTTTTTTTTGTAGCTACATTTCTTAATAACTATATTTTGATAACAAAGAAAAAGTTATTTTTTAATAAATTTTGATCGGAGTGAGTCCTTTGTAATTTGGGTTGGCAAAAGTCTGTTCAGCTCAGTAATTGATAGTTCATAAGTTGTACTTTGGTAGCAGTTGAGAATGTGTTTACTTTGGAAACTTATTGTGGACATCAGTCTGCTGTTTCTTAGCCCTCAGATGGGTGGAAAAATATCTTCAGTAGACGACCACTTAACTGTACTGGGCTGATTTCTCTAGCAGTCCCTTCTTTCTTTTTGCCTCTCAGCTGTCTGTAAGTCACAGTTCCACATTAGTGGTGTAATGCTTGGTTTCGGCTAACATCAAAAGTCTATTTGTTTTAATTTTTTTAATTTTGACAAAATTATTTTTTCAGTGCTCCTTTCTTTTTTAGATTTTTTTGGTAGTGGAAGTTATGCATGGAACCTCTCTTATTTTGGTTGATTTCTAGTCACAACAGCTAGACTTTAGTCCAGCAAACTTCCTTCTTTTTATTTGAGAGCTGCCTTCTCATTAGTTGGAAGAGAAGTATAGAGAGGATGGGTAGAGAGAGAGAGAAAAAGAGATATGAGTTTTAAAGGAAAGCAAATGTCTTATTTTAATTTTAATTGTTTTTTTGTTTATATATTTTTTTTTTGTTTGGGCTCACTACATATAGATCATTTATTGTAATTTTAACAATAATAATAAAATATATAATTTATCTAATTGCAGTAAACATTTATTGACTGTTGGATTCATTATATTTTCTATTTGATATATATATACATTTATGTGGATAAACTTGGATGAGTATTTAATGGAATGAGAACTTCATTGAAAAATTAGTCTTCATATATTGCATTGTCCCTTATATTTGAATATTTTTCAAAGGAAATCTAGTGATCAATCTCACATGTTTTGCCAATTGAATTAGGACCTGATTTTGTGCTTTCAACATTTCCTTGCTGTTATAATACCTAAATATTTCATAGCTTGACAAAGACAGATTTTTTATAACTTCTATCTTGACATGAAATACAGATCAGTGAGATAGTCTACAACTTATCTTAGTCATTATTGCAATGATTTTACTCTCCTTATATTGACCTAACAAAATTTATTTTAATAATTCTTTCTCCTTAGATTAAATTTTTCTGATCACTCATTTTATTGGTACTAAATAAAAGTTGATATCATTTTTTCTTAGAATTTTATCAATTTTTTAATTTCTTTTCAGATACTCTTAAAGAAATCATATTTAAACTGCAGATTGAAGATTCCCTCAAAAGAGATTTCCGTCGTCAGAAAAATATTCTGTATATGATCCATTCGGTAAGATTTTATATAAAAATTGACTTATGCCTGATTGTTCTATTTTTGTGCTTTATATTGCAAAATTATCTTTTTAAACATTTGATAACATTGTTGTCATGACATTGTGGAAAACAAAAAAAATTGATTGACTATGACAAACACAAGATGAATAATTTTTTTTTAAGTTTTTTTTCTTAATAACATGGACACATTTTCTTCTTATAAATAAATATAAAAGGAGAAATGAATTTCTCAGTCACTGACTTGCAGCCACCTTGGATCAGCACTTTTTTAAAAGGAATTCACCACCTATTCAGCAGAGCAATGAAATTGATTAGCATGTTCTCCACAGCAGTCCATTCACTCTGCTTTATTTGTACTGTAATTGGCTTGGAGTGAAGCTGATTTACATCTTCAGTGACCTCATACAGTGGGAGAGGCATATATATTTTTTTTCTACAAGGCATGAAAGTGCTTTGACCTTGGAGGCATGTCACTATTTTCTTTAGTACAATAAAATAAATTGTATTATAGTTCATCATAACAACAAACATGATGCTGAATGAATGAAACAAAAATACATCACTTTGTATTCTACCATTTTGAAAAGATTGCAGATTCTATTTAAGCTGTTTGAAATAATATCTTTATTATAAGAGCTTAGGTAAAAAATAAAGTCCAATGAATAATGTTGAATATTTTGTTCAGGCAATATGCTTTCTTGGTTAATAATGATTACATAAGTAACACAGACCTATACAAGGAGAAATGGTGAAGTTAATGTCATACCTCATATATAATGCCTTATAGAAGATATTTCTGGGCAGTATCATTTGTTCTATGCCAATCATTTTTATACCACAATGAAATTAGTACAGTATATCCTTGAAAAGTCTGTATATCAGAATACATCAGCTAAAACCAATTATTTTGCATGAAATGCAAGTTTTCTTATAAGGAATATGAGTTGAAATCTTATCCGAAGCTCCTTCTTTATTTAGAAATTCTGAAATTTAGTTTATTGGCTAAAAGAAAATGTTGCAAGGAAAAAAGGGAAGAAAAGAAAAAAACAAGAAAAAGTTGTTCAAAATATGCCAATGTTTAGCCAGATTTTAACTGCATATATTCAGAAAAAAATGATTAAACCTGTGTGTGTGTATATATATATATATATATATATATATATATATATATATATATATATATATATATATATTATAAATTAACTGATTTAAAATATCGTTTCTTATTACACAATAATTACCATGTTTCAAAAACCAAAGCTAAAAACTTCAAATTTATTTATATAATTAAATTAAAAGTATTAGTTCTGTTTCATCTTCAAGCGAATACAATACAATTCATAATTTTTTGTTTCCAAGGATACAGAGAAATCCAGTCATTTAGACAGGGGAGGTAGCATGTTCATTTTTATTAACTATTATTGTATCAATTATGAATCACATTCGAAAAAAAGGTGAAGTCTAGGTATGGTAGGGGTGCATTTTTCAACAAATTTTGCCATCCGTTCAACACATGTCGTCTAGTTTTCTGTAAAAAGTTTTGCAGCATTTTTTTCCCCCCATTGAATTCGTACTTGTATACATGAAGATTTTTTCGAAAAGGGGTGTTTGGGTTAGAATATGTTATATTGAACTACAATTTTAATATATTATTTTTACTCTTAATTACTAATAGACTATATTTCTTTTTAAAACAAATAAATGTAATAGAATTACTTAAATTATTTAAAAAATTATTATTACATATCAAATATAAGTATGTATATAACCAGCTCCCATTTTTTAAAATTTTTTAATTATTTTATTTTATTTTTAAATATTATTTAAGGAAAATTATTGACAATGTCAGCAAAGAATAGCTATTTAACTTCTTTGATTCAGTAAATTTTTATTTTTTATAAACTTAGTAATATATAGTTTCTCATGTATGCACAAAGGACATGGGTCATTTAATGACCTACATATTCTAGCTTTTTTTATTAATTTCCATTTTACTGTAGGTGTTTTATAGGTTTCTTTTAAGTGCCAGAAATATTTCGATAGGGACGTCTGATTTTGGTATTTATTTATCCTAAATGAACTTTGATGTTGATTGAATCTCTTTTTGAACTCATGGCTTGTGCAACCTATATATTTTTGGGATTTTCAAAAGATGAGATATTGCATTGGTATACTAATGATTCCATGTGACATTTATTTTGTAGGGAACAGTTATGAGGATTTCTACAGTTACATAATTTTTGTTTATCTTTATCCCTTTTTATTTTTATATTGTCTAAATTTCTTTTGTTTTGGTCTAAGTGTTTATTCAAAATATTAGCATTATGTTTCTTAATAATTTTCTCTAAGTTTTCAGTACAGCTGTAACTTAATTTTAGTGTATTTTTATTGAAAATAGTACTGAGTTTTCTATCTTTAGGAAAATGATTAACGATTAATGCAAGGAATTTTTGTCCTAATTTATTCTTTACCATTTGGTTGTATGGGGGTATATACCAAATTATTTTTCTACTTCTGTTTTTTCTATGCTTTCCATTTTCCTTTTTTATATAAGTTAGTTTTGGGCTCTTGTAGCCACTATCTTTTAGAGCTTTATTATAGAAATTAATATGTTCATAGAAAATCTTCTCATTTGCTGAATTTGTACTTATTCTTTTTTCGATCGATAAAGGCATATGCTTAATTATAGATGGAGGATGATTAGATTTAGTGTGTATATATAAAGGATTAGTATTGGGTTTTTTATAGGTTATGTATACATTTTTCATTAAATCTAATGTTATATCAAGGAAGTTAGCTTTTTTTATTTTAGTGCTTACGGTAATTTTTAAGTTCAGCCATTTAAATTCTTTATATAATATCTTTCTAATTTTATCGACTTTAAAGTTAGTAGAGTTCTTTATAACCATAAGTCCATCGTCTCTGTATAAACCAATGTCATTTATATTAATTTCATGGTACGCTGTGAAATTGTATAATATAAAAAGACCTATAAGACCAGAAGACTCAGCTGAGTCTAGTGATCCCATTGTGATGTCAAAGTGGTCATAAGAATTTTTTATCCATTGATCACCTTTATGTATCAGTATTTCGCATTTATAGTAATGCTCTTTTCTTCTGTAATATCACTGTACTGGGTAGCAAAGTCTAACGCATTCATGAACAGTTCTTTAGATATTGATTGATAATAATTTTCAATATCAAACTGCATTAATGTACAGTTAGTTTTATCCTTTATATCAGCAAGCCAGTTTGTCACGTCTTGGGTATTAATCCAAAGTTTCAGCCCTATTTTTCTTTAATTTGTTAATTAACCCTTTCTAGGATCTTTTTACTTATTTTGCCGATCTCAGGTCTTGTTAGGTTTATTATCCTTGTAGTCTGTTTTGCTTCAAAATCTGGTTTGTGGTTCTTTAAGGTTATATAGCACTCTTTTTTAGTAAGTTTACCTACTTTATCACTAATTTTCAGTTTATCTGTGATTTTTTTACTGCTCGTATTAATATTATCTACCATGTTATGATAGGTAATTATTATTTGCCTTTTTATAGTTCTTATGTAAATCCTTATTACTTAGATAGTTGTAGTCCCTTGTCGTTATTTTATAGAAGTTTCCTGTTTTGTCAGATTTCACTAAAATTTTATCTGTTGTGTTAATGTCTTTTACTATTTTAAACAGGTTTTTGGAAGTAGCATTTCTTTTCATGGAAATTTATGTTATTTATTATTTCCAATACGTCATTTTCAAAACCAGACAAACTATGAATAAACAGTGCTGCTTTTTTACTATTCAAACCATAAACCTCATTTTTGTTTTGTAAGTCATTCTGTTGAAGGAAAAAGTAAGCTCTCCATCTCACCCTTCATATGAGTTTGTCTGTTTTTTGCATTAATTGCACGAAATAATTCCTTTTGTTGGTATTAGGAAGGTTCTTCAGAGAAATTCCAAAATTTATTTTTTTCATATTCTTTCTTGTTAGAAATAAAGATTAAGAGTGCTTGACTTTTGATTAGAAGCCAATGTGTGTATATATATATATATATATATATATATATATATATATATATATATATATATATATATATTTGTAATAAAAAGAAAGAACAGTAAGATATATAATCTGGTGTTCTTATTGATATCTTTATTTTTACAAAACAGTGCTCAATGTAAATTTACAGAGCATAAATATTATAAATTAACTGATTTATTTTCTTTGCTACACAGGAATTACCATGTTTCAAAAACTGAAGCTAAAAACTTCAAATTTATTTATATAATTGAATTAAAAGCATTAGTTCTGTTTCATCTTCAAGCGAATTTTGGAATAATCTATTTTTAAATTTATTGAGTTTTAAATGCACATACAATTCATAATTTTTTGTGTATAGTGTATGTATGCTGTTTCCTACCTATACTTTGTTTAGTGATAACTGAAATAAATGAATAACCTTTTTTTAAATGCACCTACAAATGATTTTCTCTTGCACATCCTTATACAATCTCATGTGGTCAATTGATTTTTCTATCTCTTCTGATCTCATACATTTACATTTTTATATTCAAATAAATTTGAAATCAGTTAACCATGAGAGAAAACTAAAACAATCAGCAAAAATTCAAATCTATTTTTACATTCCTTAATCAGAAATCCCTGAGTAGACAAAGATATTTTGACGATGTTAATATTTATACATAACAAATAATCTTTGTCCAAAAAAAGATCTTGTGAGCATGAAAGAAAAAAATGTCTGTTTTTTTATGCTTGGCTGCTTAAGAATAAAAAATGTTGATTAAAATGATACATGAACACATTATATAAAATACTGAATAAATTTTATATATAAACTAGCAGAAATTGCCTGATTTTTTTTTTAAATATGTAAAATAAATTCAATTAAATCATTCTATTTTGTCAACATTAATTCAACTGATAAAATCTTTCCTAGGTCCAGGAATGGTCAGTCAGAATTGTATCCAGTTAATTCAGAATATTTCATCTCTTGCAAAATGAAATAAATATAGGATAAAAAATAAATATTAAATGAAAATTAAAATAATTTTGTATTTTATTTCAGAGATTAATAATTGTTAATAGACTTGTATTATTTTGAACTAGTGTTCTCATCTTGGTTGATATAAATGTTTTTATAGACACAATGTTTTGACCAAGTATCCTCTGCTCACCATCAGGTGTCCATTGATTAGTTGACATAGGATATCTGTTGACTGATATTTTGTTGTACATACATGTTGTGATGATATAACCCAACTTCCCCATTCACGATAATGGACGGACTGGTTGCCGATTAAGTACGACCACAGCGGAGAGTCGAAAAAGTCTTCGTTTGTTAACACCTATTGAGGTTAGCATACTCTCGACTCTGTCTCTGTACTTGACACACCTACATCCGATTATAAACCTCTTATTGAAAACCAACACTCGGGTTACTTTGTTTATTATATCTTGCACGAGATATAACAATACAAAAATGCAGAATAATATAGATTATAAATTTTTTTTTTAAAAACAACAAAATATAAATCTGATAGAAATAATAAATATATGACTTATAGTAACAGGAATAAATTTTGTCTCTAATCATTATTAGATTCATCTTAATAATTGCTTTCCTGTAATGGAAGATATTTGTATTTTTGTTTCAGGATATCATTCCCATCTTGAACAGCACAGAACTGACAGAGGAAATCTTTGCTTTAACCCTCAAGTAAGTCTAATTTCTTTCCCTCAGCATTGATTCCTGCATGTTTCACAATAGCAGAAGTCAGATAAAATCATGATTGATCCCTTGATGGCATTATATGTGCATAGTAGATGTAAATATCTGTTATTGAGATTTACCAATCTTTCTAGAAAAAAAAAAGAAATATCTCAATACACAAAAAATAGTGTTTTGTATATTGACTCTCTGTTAGGCATCACTAGCAATTTGCTTATTCTAGTACAGTGTCTTAATACTGGTAGGTAAAAAATCAGTGATTGTCAAAAAAAGAAAATAGCAACCTTGGTGTTTATATATTTCAAATAGATGTGAATGATTTACTGAAAAAGATGAGCTAAAATGAAAGTACTGAGAATGATTGTGCTGGGGGGGGGTATTAATCATGTTGATAGGTTGTCAGATGAAAATGGGTCAGTTCAGTAAAAAGGTTTGTCTTAAACAAAAACATAGATGTATATTGATTAATTTGGGCAATTTAACATTTCAGGTTTCTTTTAGCCTATATCAAATTTTTGGATGTCAAATCTTAAGCTGAAGAAGCAAAGGTTTCTACTTATATAAAAACTCATGTGTAATGCCTCTCCTTAGAACTGTCATTCTTACTCCACTTACATCTTCCAACAAAACTTATTCTCTTCTAACTAATGTTTTGAAATCATGAACTTCTACTTAATCTGTTCTTGCATGTTGGTCAATTCTGCAACTCAGAGAAAGACTTCAAAACAATTTCTTAAATATATGTTGAACTCAAGATTATTCATGTCAATTGTATCATAAGGCTCATACTCAGTTATGCACATTAGGGGCTCAATTTTCTTTTCATAATGCTGAAAAGATTGAAAGCCATACATTTTCAGGTGTCTTGCCTGTTGAAGACATTCCAGAATGTGCATTGCTTTCAATGGATTCCTGAACAAGTTCAAATTCTCAACACCAAAATTTTATCAGGGCTTTGATTAAAAAAAGTGTTTTGTATACTGATTTTTAATTATTTAAGTAGTTTCTTGTGAATGTGACAATATATGTATAGTAAGATGCTAACTGGCTACCAAATTACATCAAAGCAGCACAACTGGTTGTCATATATTCAAAATGACTAGATATTTTCTGTACAGACCTCATGTCTGAACTGCACCTAAATTTCTGATAAAAACAATTAAAGAAATTAATCTAAATGAACCACTATACAATGATTACTGCATCTTGTCAAATCAGCAAAACCTTTGCAAAACATTGTTATTAAATCTTTTTTGCTCCAAATAATATACCGGTACAGGTTATTTTTGTAAATCTGAATCTTTAAGGAGTTTCAAATTTATTTTACTCTATAACTTGTCTGTAAACTTTTCATGATCCTTCAATTTAAAAACTTGATTTCATGCAGTTCAAAAATGTTAACACTTCAAACTTATAAGAAAGGAAGATGGAGTTTTTCATAAATGTCTGGTAGGCATGTAATTTGGTCATATATTCAATACTTGCAGCATTTAATTTTGAAACCATCATTGGCTAGAAGGCAAAGTATGGAAAAGTATATCATATGAGCCAGCTACTATTTTGGTTTCTTGAAAACTACAAGAACCTTTATGAAAGTTTACAAAATGATTAGATAAAGAAATTTAGAATAGTTTTAAAATTTGTGAATAAAACTAAAATTTCTGGTGAATAATAATTGACACTCATTTTTAAGCACTGGTGATTTATTTATAATATATTTCTGTTTTGCTTTTTTATATTGACAGACTAGTACTTAACTTTTTACTGTCTATCTCCACAAGACCTAAAAATCACTCTCTAAACAATGATAAATTTTATGGCTATTGGTGTAAAGAAATAAGCTACTTCCATTTAACAAGTCCTTGATTGAATCTCTAGACTATATGAGAACCTCCTATATTGAGTATTAGCTGTTTAATGTAGGCTAACATCTACTAGTTTTGTTATAGAGCTTTATTCATGAAGCTTACCTTATTATTATTTTTTAAATTTCAGATTGCTTTCCAACTTAACACAGTCTCTAGACTGCCTGTTCCCTTCCAGTTTCCAGCGTAATTCAATGAACTCTGAAATCATGGACAGCATTGTCAAACTTTTACAAACAATCAAACTCCTTTTTTGCCAGCAAGAAAACTTGGACAGATTATTCTATCTTGTCAAGCCCATTATTCGCAAGGTAAGTCAACCTTCTTGGTATATGTTTTTGTTGAAGATAAGCATTTGCTCAGAAAGAACAGACAATGAATATTGGTATGAAAAAATAAAAAGGATAAAAATTTGGAAGGTGGATTCAGTGGTAAAGTTTTGTTTCCTGGCATTTGTAGGAAATTAATATAAGCAAGCAGCTGCTTTCTCACAAAGAATGGTCCTGATGATTTTGACTAATATCTTCATCTTTGTTGCTTTCAATCATCCCTTCTGAGATTAGACACCATCGTGAGTTTGTAATTTATTCAAACTTGTATCCTCATGTTGGATGTCTTCAACAAAAGATTTTAGTTGGTCATTTCTATTGCTTTCATTTAGTGATTATCGCTCCCAGTAACCTTCATAGTATTTTGAAACAAGCCTCCACTGAAAAATATTTTTGAGAAAGAATCTGAGGACTCAGGAGAAATGATGTTATAGATGTTTATTCTTTTTATGCACACCAGTCTACATTTTGTTTAACTGTATATAGTAAATATCTGAAAATTGATAGTAAGACCAATACTTTTTCAATATTCAATAATTTTATTTAGCCTTATAGTTTCCCTACTTCTTAATTAAGATGAATTTATGAATTTAATAATTAAGATGAATTTATGAGTTTTTAAAGAATATTTTGTAAATGAATTTTAATAATGCCAACCTTTTGTCTTGTTAAACACATGGGGCAAACAAAGTAATTTACAACTTTGTTGTATTTATAGTGTTTTATACTTATGTACTTTGGCATTATGGTATATTTACAACAATTGTATTGTGTACCTTCTTACAATTGTATTTATAGTGATATTAACTATTTTCCCTTAGCATTGATACTGTTGTATTAGACTGAGGTGCTGGTGTACATAAAAACACAGCCCCTTATAGCCTTTTAAAACTAAGTGTGTGTATGTGCTACCAGGACAAGAAAGCATGTGAAATTACATTCTGTATGTAAAAGTATACAAAATGAAACTTTGTTGGGGAAAAATGTCCATTTGATGGCCAGAAACTGTTGTAAATTGTTTGATGTAATCAGTATATTGAATCTGTGTCAAAAGTTTGGCCTTGAGCCTTTATTGCATGTCGTAGTTCTTCCATGATAATAAAATGATTGTGTTTGTTGAAAGTAAAATGAAACAGTAGTCAATTTTTTTGTGAAGTGTTAGCAAACTGAAAGTCAGATATCCATCATAGTTAAGTTATTAACAAATGTAATATAGAGAGATAAAATGAAAGTAATACTAATGATAACATGAATGAGAACCATGGTTATTAATGTGATTTTTAAGCTATTGTCTTTTGGAAAGATATGAAAGCTTTCCTGTGATGTTGTAACTAGTCTTGCCAAAAATAAAAATTTAAGAAAATTGGTGAATAAATATGTGGTTAATTTTTTGACATGTATTACAGAGTTTTTGCTGATATATCCATTATGACAAAAGAGCAATCAATATGGCTGAAGCTTTTTGTTTTTTCAGGGAGAAGACAAAGAAATAATCAATCAGTTTCTTCTACTTGTTCGCAACCTCCTATATATTCAAGTATGGGACAGATTGATGGGCCCTGCAGAAATTCAATGTAAATTTATCAAGTAAGTAACCAAATTAATTTTTTGGTTTGTCTTTTCTTCATGTTATTGTTGCTTTTTATTGTTGATTATAAATCCACAGACTTGGTGTTGAAAAAAAAATTGCAAATAAGTTTCCTCATTTTACTCTTGAAAAAATAGCTAGTTGTAACTGTAAGTTCTATTCTAATAGTGTCTTTTTTTACACTTTTCACCTGTGAAATTCTCTTCCAGTTTCTTGCTTTCCTGCCACCTACAATCTTCAAAGATTTAATGTTAATCATCATCTTTTGTCTTCCTGTACACTGTTCTTTTATTATTCTTTTTCCTTACTAATCCCAGTAACTACTGACATCTTAGTGACATTATTGCACTGCTTGGAATGAAATCATTTAAAAAGAAAGGGGGAACAAAGATGATGACTTCAAGAAATTTGTGTAACAAATTCAAAATAAAAAAATATATGATTCTGAAGAGTTCTACTTTAAAAACCAATCATGAGAAAATTTTCATGGAATTTAGTTTCAGACATTTTTGTTTATTTTTTGTTTTTTGAAATTTTGGAAAGTCTTAGTGCTCCATTGACACCAGGAAATATGATAGATCAAATCTGTACAAATTATTGATTTTCTGAATGTCTGGTACAGTTAAATGTGGAAACACAATTATAGATATTTACTAAGCTTTGCTTAGTTTGACACAAGGCCACACTTTTGGAACTCCCAGTCAAGGCTGAGCTCATGATTGTAGTCAGAAAAAGCTGTATTTTATTAAAATGCTGATTGATTTTATATTATCATTTTTTTAAGATTTGAATTTTACAGTATTATCAAATACTTTTACCATTTTTCTCCTCTTTTTTACAGAAATATGTTTGAGTGCGAATTGGATGAAATTTTATTATCATTGCTTACACATCCATCAAGGGTAAGTATTTATATATCTAATGTAAATGTGTATACAAGGTACTTGGTACTACTTTGTATAATCTATCTATGAGAGTTTACATAAAAAGGTATGATAAATTGATAAAAATGATTTAAATTTGTATTTTTAATTATGATGGCATGTATATACATGTTTATAAATTACAAATGTATAAAAAGGTCAATGTTAGGATTGAACTCAATAGGTCAAGTTTTTTATGCTTCCTAAAATATTTAAAATTTTTGATTTCTACTTTAGCAAGAGTAAAGTGATATGTGTTTATTAATATGACTATATTAATATGACTATGGCATATTCATCTAAGGAGATTGTTAAATTTAGTGTCAATTCATTTTGTGTTTATAGAAGTTATATTATAAATACTTCCAAATAAATAAAAGAACTATTCAGTAATACCTACTTGAAATTTCAAGTTAGCTTTATTTGTATTCTTACTAATCCCTAAACAGCAAGAGTATTGTATTAAGTGGTTTTTGAACATACATGTTCACCATTTAGAAAAAATGTTTTTTGCAATAAAGTGTGGAAATGTTTGATAGAAAAGAAAAAGAAATTAAAATATTATTAATTCTTGCATAAATAATAATGCCGATAAAATAATACATTATTTTGTTTAAAAAAAAAAAGTTTCATTTCTATATAAAAATAGGTGGAAATGTTTTTCACAAAATAAAGGTATCATTATTTTACAGGTTTCATTATTTTATGCAGCAATTAATGATCTTTTAATTTTTCTCCTTTCAAGCTTTTTTAACAAGCACAAATTGTAATATAGCAACAAATCTAAGTAGAAGCTTATGAAGCTTTATTGACTAATTCACCTTTAGTGCTGAAAACATTTATTTTATTATAGTGGATAATTACAAGTGAGATGTGACTTGGGATGTGCTTATTTTATTACCACACAAATATAAAAATTGTATTATTATTATTGTTGTTGTTGTTGTGAACACTAATGAAGGATCACATTATTAAGTTGCAAATTTGAGTGAAAATTGCTTTATTTTTCAAGTTAGAGCAATGCTGCTAAAATGTTCTCTCAAAACTAACTACAATATATTGCTTTTACTATATTATGGTAACAATTATGAAGCAATATTCAGCTAAGAGTCAGTTTTAAACAATGACAGGCAAGAAAGAAAGAAATATTCTAGAACAATTTTTAAAAAATTGTATTTGTCTCCTTCATTTTCTTTTCTAGATTTGCTGGGGAGTAATCATTGTTCAGACTTTGTCATTGCTATACACTGATCAGGTATGGAATTTATTTTCTATTTATGTAATAATAAAAATAAAAATTCTAATAATAATCTTGAAAACCTCAGGAATTGCATTCTATAATTTAAAAGCATGAAAATGGTATTTTTTGTGCATAAGTGGAACTTTGTTCTGAATAAGTTACAGAAATTAGGTTGCTATAAGTAAAATGTATTGAAATAAATTACTGTATTTGATGATACATAATACCCTTTTTTTAAAAAAACAATGCTAAAATATCAATTAGGTCTTCTCCACAAAGTTAAACTATTGAATAGACTAATATTTGCCCAAACACTGTAGACTATTATGTGTATTTAATCTAACTGTATAATACTGTAATATTAAATGTAAATGGAGGAAGTGGCTAAATGTCATCAAATACAATAAATCTGAAGACGTTTCTTATGAGGAAAGCAAATTTTTCTCAAGAAAGAATTGGTGGTTAAGGTAGTCACTATTTTATAAATGCATGTATAATGTGTAATCATTGTAAGTAATTTTCACTATTAATGACCTGTGAAATGTGCATACTAAATGTTATGTTGTGGCAGATACAGAGTACATATCTAAACTTAATTTACTATGGCATAAGACTAATTAGGGGGGAAATTTTTAACCTTGTATTGCAAGTGTTAGCAACACAATAACCTTATACTGGGAATGAACCTACAGAGAGAGAGCTATCAACAGAGATATATATATATATATATATATATATATATATATATATAAAATGTGTGTGTGTCGATGACCAAGCAAAATTGAATGATGCCTTTAAACAGATTTTCTCTGACTCTTGAAATATATATATCAGCTCAATTTCATATCTTAACATAAACAAAGCAATTTGTAAGGTAAGGGATTGATTTTCCACTTACCAATCCAACACATTTTTATTACTTAAATGCTATTCCTAGTGGACACTCTTATTTGAGTAGACAGTTAACCAAAAGTATTCTTGTTTTTTTATCTTTTCTTTTCTTTGAATGGTATTAGCAGTGTGTGCATAAAATACCAACTTGTTGAAGGTCTGTACCTGCCAATGCCATTTGCAATTAAGGATATATGTATGTCTCCAGTTCTTTCTATTGCGAAAATAACCTGGATTTACTACTAAGAGGATTTGCAAACATGCTAGGGATCAATATCATCAGGTTGTTTGGTAGGATCCTAATTAACAAATTGGGTGAAATGTGGCCAGCTGAAGAGGCCAGCTTCCAGCTGTCATCGTGTGATCAAAAACTCAGGAATGTGCAAAAAGTACCAACTCATAAAATACTGAGGGTGTGTGTTTATCTTGTAGTAAAGAAAGAAAAGAAAAGACTGTCAACTTATAGTAGCAACTGCAATAGATTTATTCTGTTTCTCGACCGCAACACTTGTAGCCAAATCGCAATTCAAACAATAGTCTGTCGTAACAGTCCAACAAGCAAAGTAGAAACAACAAAGTGGGGTCACACGTCCAACCTTCACTTCTCACGAGCAAAAATGCGTGTTCGGCTCACCAGCTCAGAAAATCTTTTGCCTTTATAAGCGAAAAACAATGGCTTTGGTTCATTGAGAGATCTTTCTGATTGGTCATGCCATTCAGAGGAGAAAATTAGCATAGATTCTAGTCATTGAAGTAAATTTTTGCTAACTACTTTCTGTAATTTTTCTTTGGCAGATCGCACACAGAACACAAACTTTTTTTCGGGGTAAATGATTATCTCTTTCACTACAGTTTACCAATGCCATTTGCAATGGAGGAAGTATGTATGTGTTTATTTTGCAACTGAGGTCAACTCAATTTGAGAGAATAACTTGGAATTACTGCTTAGAGGATTTGCATATGTAGGTTTAAACTGGCATATAACCAGCACTTTTGAATCACAGAAGCAGTAAAGTGATGGTGTGACCCTGCAAACTGCTTGTTTTTGTTTTGGGAGAACCTTTGTGTACAGTTAAGATCTCTTTTGCAGACAAAATGTTTTGTCTTGTTTGAGTTGATTTACTGTCATACTATAGTGTTTATTTTTAACTATATTAAAAAAAAAAAGATTTTGATTTTACCAAAATAGCTATTAGCAGGAATTTTTTAAGATTTTTCTAATTTTTAAAAAATATTTTACTTTAATGATTCTGACATGAAAAATAAAAGAAAATAAGAACAATTTTGGCATATTATGCTTTCTTTTAATTAAAGTACAAATGCAGCTGAAACATTAAAAAGATTTCTGTGTTATAATTAATTTTTGATGAGTACTTATTTCATTGTATCACATTTCTCAGAATGATTTTATTTTGTGACAAGTATTTATATACAAGAGTGGAAATGTTATTAGTTTTCCAAATTTCTTTAGTATAAGAGAGCTCATAAATATACATCAGGTTAGTGGAAAAATCAAGCAAGTTCATGGATGTGAGGTGATAGATGAAACTATGGAATAAAATTTGAAAAACTAAATTTTATTTGGTATAGGAGTGCTCATCTATCACCTCACATCCATGAACTTGCTTGATTTTTCCACTAACCTGATGAATAGTTATGAGCTCTCTTATACTAAAAAAATTTGGAAAACCAATAACATTTCTGCTTTGGTATATAAATACTTGTCACAAAATAAAATCCTTACATTTGCCTTGATAAAGTCTGTCAGAGAACAAAACTCATCGGTTAAGATAAGTTTTCTTTTTGTCTTTATCCATATTGTCCTTTTATAGATATACTTTCTCTGATATATATATATATATAAATAAGGAAAATTAATGACAGTAGGAAAAATTTTTTTGTCTGATGCATTTCGTCCTTTAGGACTACATTCTACTAAAGGGATGCTACCTCTTCAGTAGGAAGGTATAGTAACAGAATATAGCGAAAAAAATGGCGACTTACCTCGTCAAACCAAGCAACAGCACGTCGTGTGTATCCTGCGACAGAAAATGTGGTGAAAAAGAAAATTACTTACCAAAAAAAAGGGCACATATTCCGCATGACATGCTGAAGATGGAATATTTAAATTAAAAAAGCAGTCTGTCGCAGGAGTCACTATAAAAGTATTTTGATATGCAAAAATTGAGCGTCCTCTCCCAGCTGTCAACGAATGGAAAAATGCTCAGCTGATAAAAGCAGTTGGTGTTCTCGAATTGGGGAGAAAATTTGGGTATTTTGGCTACCGCGTTTGTTGGAGAGTGAGTTATTTTTCTGACTGGTTGCGTGCATTGTGAGATAGTACTTGCGAATCGAGTTTTCGGCTTTTCTTTCTGTCCCTGATGTTCGAGTCTGAACTTAGTGATTTATTCTCTGTGTTGTGGAAGTAATCTGCGACAAATATTTCCTTTGCAATCCCAGATCGCTTACATAGAATACCTTTAAAAAACTTTTGTAAACTAACATTTTAAATTAATTCATTTTTCTGATGTCTCACAAGATAATATTACTGTAATGAGTTCAGTTTTTACTGGATTCTTCATTCTTGTAGACTTGTGCCAAACTAATCTTAGAAAATGTTGATCATTACTACTATAGTGAGCCTGATTCTCATTGGGTACTGCTCACCTATTTGTTATTAGAGTTTAAGCAATGTTTAATAAATACATATGCAAATTTTTTATTAATCTGATTAGCTAATTATCATTAAAGTAGGCCTTGCTTTTTCATTGATTTTAAAGACATTTTTTGTTTCTTTTATTAAAATCTTTGACTGAATCCCTTTACTTTGTAGTCTGTTTTGGCTGGCCTGAACCTTCCAGAAAGTAAATTGTCAGAAGACATAATCTTCAATGCTGAGAATTGTGAAGTAATTTCTGTAATGATGGAAGCTGATAGAAACATTGCCAGCCGTGCACCAGTCCGGGACCACATTCGGTCACAGTTAGTGTAAGTAAAACTGAAGATAGCTTATTTCTTGCTTTGGTTTGAAACACCTAAAGACACAACTGTGGATATGTAATAATATTAGGTTGTTTAGAAAGTAATGTTGACTTGCTGGAGATGAAATAAGACTCCTGCAGATGTTGCCAAAGATGTCAAAATCATCATATGTAGCAATATTTTTAAAATTCAATGTGAGATTAATTCTTTTATTCTTTGTTGGAAAGATTTGGACAAAAAGTATTTAGTTCATGTTAAATTAATCTCATATTTTTAAAGATTTTGCCATTAAGAAAACATTTCATTCAACTGAATAAATGAAAATTTAACATAAATAGGAATGTTTAGGTAGAGCCTCACTACTAACAGTTGGATCTTCTAAATTTATTTTAATGCATGTGAGTTGTATTGTTCAGAAAAATGGTGCCCTTTTTGGTAACTAAATCAGAACATTTTTTTGCAGGAATTTTAATTATATTTTGCATAAATAATGATCCATTCTTATTGTCTTTACATTATTTTAAGAGCTTAGAATAAATAAAATCTACCAAATTCCATAGACTGCCCATTGAAACCTGATGTGGCTGGAATTTTGATTTTGACACTGAGATACATTTAGTATTATATTCTTTTAACAAGGAATAGAAGAATTGGTTTCATAAGTTTCTGTCATTTTCAATAAGATGTCAACCTGTTAGGTCTTGATACTTTACCAAATTTTCTTAATTCAGCCATCTTGGAATTTTAAGAATACCATTTAATCAGTTCAGTGGGAACACTTTCTTACCTGATTGTTATTAACAGCCAGTGAATTTGATTTCAACTCTGAAAATCATGTTTGTAAGTCATCAACATTTGAGTTAACAAACCAGAAACTGATTGACTTTGCTACTATTTCTAATGTTTATTTCCATCATCATTAGAACATCAATTTTAAAATATAAAAGATGAAGTTTGCTATATATTAACTTTGTGAATGATGGTTACATCTATAATGATACTAGTTTTATTAGCAATTATGAAGTCAGTTGTTTCACCATTTGGGCTTTTCCTGTTTTTCTTTTTGCTTTGGAAAATTTGTATTTTTAAATTATTTTTTATAATTCTGAGAATTTTAAGAGAGATTGAATTAAAAGTATAGAATTAAACAAATTAATCAACAAAAGAACAAAGGAAGAAAAAGTAACATGTAAATGAAAATGTTAGATGAAGTTATTAGAAAAAAGATGTTTGAAGCATTTCTATTGATAGCTGATATTGGCAAACAACAAATATTTGCTTAATAAAACAGAAATGGTGACATTAGCAAATTTAGGAACAAGGCATTAAAATAAAATTATCACCATTAGTCAGATTCTAGTGATGGAAGTAACAGTAGTTTAATTAATGTTTGTTTTAGAGAATATAAAATGTGAAATAGCAGCAGGTGAAAATAGCATAATAACAGACCTTTAGAAATATGCAGAATAGTTTCACAATTGATTAGTTCTGCAATTTAGTCTTGAAAAGCAGCCTTATAAATATTCAAACTTTTGGATTGGCTAATCAAGAATAGATCATTTTCAAACACTACACCAAATGATAAAAAATCAGCAAAATATAATAAACCCATCTTTTTTTGTGGTGGTGGCTTTTATTAGTGTAGAACACTCAGCAGTTTTATGAGAGCAGAATATTAATGAAAATTATGTCATTGAGAAATATGATAATAGTACTATGATAATTTAACTACATAAAGATGCAAGTAACATAAAAATTAGAACAGAAGTGAGGAAAAGGGATATGATTTCACCAAGATTATTTACATTATTTTTTAAATTATCTTTCAGAAAACAAGCTGAGAAATAATGGAGATAACCATAATCAGAGATTATTTGAACCATTGATGATTTACTGATGTTTTACTAATATCAAAAGTATTAGATCAATTACAAGAAATATTGATGCCACTGAATAAAAGATATCCTAAGGTAGTGTTAAAAATGAACAGAAATAAAACAAATGTTCACTTGTAATGTCTTGAAAACAATCACAGAAATGTTCATATTACATTCCATTTGTACATGCTATTCACTTCAAACTTTTATGTAGCACCTCATATTGTTTTTTTTTTATATTCTTTAATATTTTAATTTCTGTCTTCTTTAAGGGTCATTTTGAAGTCTTTTAACTCTCGATTCTTGATGTCAGGATTCAGTGGACTGGTTTCTGACTTGAAGGTAAATTGTTCACTTTCCTATTTTTATATGCCAAAGATTTTCTCAAGAAAAATCAATCAATAATCTATAATCACTTTGAAGAAATATATGTAATGAAGCTCTATTATTATCATCATCATCATCATCATTCTTATCATCATCATTATTATTATTATCATCATCTTCTTCATCTTCTTTAGAGCTGGGCCCAAACAATGGCCCTTAGACCCTACAGGAGATGTTCCTAGTATGGCAATCTTCTGGACAATTTGTATGTTGATGTAACCTGGGACACTGTTAATAAAATTGTCCACTCCTTTTCTCATGAGGCCCAATTGTGTATTACTGAACATTTATTTCAAAAATAAAATCAAAATGTATTAATGGAATATCATACATAGGACCAGACAAAGAATTAAAACTAAAGTTTGGGTTTCAATTTTTTTGCCATGGAATCCTTTTTTTGTGATAGTGATTATAGTCATTCAATACTAATGTAAGACTTATATATTTATAATACTGTATACATTTTATTTATGTAGGATAGTAACATATTTTGTTGTGGTAGCTGTTGGTATTCTTATTCTGGTTGTATCAATATAAAAACTAGTATTGTACATCTAAAAAATGACAGGATTATTTACAAATTGACTGGAACTTCTGAGAATCAAAGTATGTGTGCAATCTGCCGAAGATAAAAAAAATTACCCCTCCCCCAACACTCCTGCTCAGTATCAGTGTTAGACATTGTGTTTTATATATGAATTCCAATTTGAAAATAATTTTTCCAGAAATGAATTTATTTGTTACTAATGATTTATTATTGATGAATATTGTCTCATTCTTCTTAAAACCTGTTGAATATTTAGTGAAATGATTTTATCCTGAGAGCATTGAATTGAAAAATGTTATTTTGAAATAGATATTCAATAACAAACAATTCTTTTAGTGATACTTATGGAGTCTGTTTAGAAAGAAGCCAGGTATTTACTATTAATAAAAACATTGCCTATCTAGCACAGCGGTGCCTTAATATTTTTAAATTATTCCCCACCTACTATTATACTATCAGGTCATCCCATAAATTCTGTCCGAATTTTGAATAAAGAAAACAAGTGACCAAATGTTACATTTAATTACAGATTCAATCAACAATGTATTTTCCCTGATTCTCTATGACTTCCTTCCATCTATTAACAAGCTTACTAATTCCATTACTGTAAAATTCTTTTGGCTTTGATTCGAAGAACTCACAAATCAAATGTCAGTTTTAACCTCTTTCTGTGTTACAAAAGCTGTTTCTTCCAAATGATTCTGTAAGCTACGAAACAAATGGTAGTCTGAAGGAGCAAGATCGGGAGAATAAGGTGGATGAGGAATTTTCTCCCAACCAAGTTCTTTGATCTTTTGTGATGTGATTCTTGCTGTGTGCGGTCGTGCATTGTCCTGATGAAACATCACCTCTTTTCGATTCACTAGAGCAGGTCTTTTTTTCCTCAAAGCTTGGTTCAAACACTCTAATTGCTGACAGTATATTTGAGCATTAATTGTTGCATTAGGTGGTAAGAATTCAAAGTGGATTATTCTTTGGCAATCCCACCAGATTGAAAGAAGAATCTTTTGCCCATGAAGTTTCCTTCTTGGCTGTGGCTGGGGTCCTTCCCCTGTCTACGACGCTTAACATTTCGATAAAAGATCCATTTTTCGTCGCCAGTCACAAGTCTATCCAAAAAAGGTGAAACAAGTTGGTGAGAATGGAGAGAAGAGCAGATGTCAACTCGGGATTTGAGGTTGTTTTCAGACAATTCATGAGGCACCCATTTTCCAAGTTTAGGAACTTTTCCAAGTTGTTGAAGATGACGATGAACAGTTGTATGGTTTGAACTGAGAACCACTGCCAATTCCTCAACTGATAAAGCAGGATTTTTTTCAAGGGCTGCTTCAAGAAGCTTTTCATCAAACTCAACTGGACGTCCGGTTCGATCTTCATCTTCAAGGGTAAAATCTCCACCTCTGAATTTTGAAAACCATCTTCTGCAAGTTCTTTCATTCACACATTCCTCTCCATAAACTGAGTGAATGTTTCTAACCGCTTCGGCTGCTGAGTTTCCTTTCTTGAACTCATAAAGCATTATCTGCCTCAAATGATTCTTGGGTACTTCCATGTTAGCAGGGTTTTAATCAAACAAAATTTAATTTTATTGTTTTCTGAAATAAAATTTGATTAGTTTAAATGCATCTCAACATAAAAATAATGTTCAGCTCCATTAGACATTATAAAATACTCTTTAAATTTCATTCATTTTAACAAAAAGTTAAAATTCAGACAGAACTTATGGGATGACCTGATAGAACAATTCCAATTTTCAGAACATTTTGCATAGTTTTCTTTCAGAATTGTCATTATCTGCCTTCTCTTTACACAGTCTGTTCAACAGCAATTTTTCCAAAAAAGCAACAATAATGTCAGTAGTCAGAATAATATATGGAAGAATGATAATTTATCATAAAACTTCTATTTCAAATTGGAAAACTAACAAGAACAGACAAAAATTTACTTTAAATAATCTTGTTTATAATTGTTAATATCTCCCTCTCTCATTATTTGAAGATATGGCCAATCATGTTTCTCCATATCTTTCTGTCTCTGTTGTTGCATTCTAGAGAACTTCTTCTGATATGATGCCTCATTGTCTTTACTGAATTTGTTTTATCTAATTGTTTAGACTTATCATATAAGTTACCACTGATTTTCTATCTATTTATTGTAATTTTCTTATGTCCTATTAGTGTTAAATTCTCCAAGCCTTCTTTCCTTATTATGTATCCAAAGATTTCAGCTGTTTCTTTGTGATTCTTACCATCAATTTCACTGTAATCCCTGTTCTTTTTAAAACTTTCACATTTGTCACATTATTCCCTAGTGCATGATATTTTCAACGTTTGTCGGTGGACACCTAAGATGAGCAATATCTACAAATGTTTTTGTACTTGAATAGAAATTCTCATTTTTCAATTCAATTGACATTCTACCTGTAATAAAGTAATAAAGTAAGAAAGTGTTCATAAATACAAATTTTCTTTTTGGTCACCTAATTTTTTTCTGGGTTCAAACTAGATTTTGATATCAAAGTTTTGCTTTTAGATATTTTACCTCTAAATGTTTCTTTTTGTAGGATATTCTTATTTCTAAGGATTGCAACCTTGATGGATCCTACTTCATGTGGCTGGTCATGTTCTTCTTGAGAATTTCCCGAGTTTTGGAAATGGATTTTGCTTATATCAAGTAAGTAATTTGTTTTCTGATATTAAAATTTCTAAAACTACTTTGGTAAATATTGCAATAATATGATGTCTATAATACATATCAAAACATAGTTACCAAATAGAACTTGTGTCATTAGTAAGTTGCATCATGTTGCAAAATTCACTTGTCAACTTTTGACAAAGAGAATGTTTTAAAATACTTTTTGGAAAATTGGTTCAACACAATCTTCCTAATGTTCATGTCATTTCATTTAGTTAGACTTTGCTATGCTGATTAAATATTTTTGCCCAGGTTAAAGGCCAGGATTTGCAAGCAACATATTTTCCCTCTCACTTGTTCAAACTAAGCTGAATAAATATACATATATTTTGTATGAATGTAAATTATTTTTGTATTAATGAAAAATTTTTATATTTTAATCTCTTTTCAGAGATGTCATATCTGTTGACGTTGTTGGTTTCTTAGTGTACATGGGTGTCAGCACCTATGAAGAAATTATTGTTGGAGAGCAGAAGAAACTTGATGTTACTTCCAAAAAAAAATGAGGTAAGTTTCTTTTGGTATGTAATAATTAGAATCTGGCATGACTACACTCAAATAGAATTACTCTATTTCCAGGTGTCAAAGTTCACAAGATTTAAAGGCATGCACATAATTTGTTTAGCTGCATTTTAAGAAAATTTGAGTGTGAAGGTGAAATAATTAAGCGTTTGGTGAAAATACATTAATAAAAAATAAACTTTTGTAGATTCTAACATGGCATTATTTTTTCAGATATTTATTTTGTTTTCTATTAACATACAATCACAAATAGACAATATCTGCCAATAACATATTCTGCTTAGTTATAATAATATACACCAGTATTAAATGTATTAAATTATATATTGTTTAAAGTTTGCTATATTTATTAGGGAAGGGGGTTTAATATCAGAGATAGAACATTTGTAGATGTAAAGTGTGGATATAGGTCTCAGTATTGCATGGTGACTATCAGGTTCATGTCATAATTTGATCTTTAAGCTCAGTGTTCCTATTCCTTTTGCAGTCACTCTCTCTATATATATAGGCCACTGGAGGATTAAAGAAAGTAGAAGTAAAAAAAAACAGCCTTTCTTAGGGCTTTTTGTTTAGTGCTAATTCTTTAGGTTATTTAAAGTCATAACCTTTAGTTTACTGTCTTTCTCTAAGAATATCTTTATATTATATATTTTTGTTATTTAATAATGCTCAGTTATTGCTTATGCTGTTTCCATTGAATCTAAGTCTGCACTACATGGCCCAGGGATTGAACTCACAATTTCTATATCAGAAAATTTACAAACCAGTACTTTAATTCACTAAGCTTCTGTCCTATGAGAATAAGAATATCCCCCCATAGATTAAATAAAGAGCTCAGTTCAAAATTCTCTGAAGGTAACCCAGGTCAATAAACACCTGAAGTAGACTGGCGAGCACAATGGCCAAAATGTGATAATACCAAAGATTGGGACAATAGTCAAAATGTAAACATTTTATTATTTTAAATTTATGTATACATTTTATTTATCTGTTTTGTATATTTTTGTTGGTTCTCAATTTTGTGTTTGAGGTAATTTTTTTTATGGGATTTTATTTAATCCCTTTGATTTATGATGTAGTTATAAGTAACATTGTGAGAATTTGTTTTCATGTCTGTGTTTTGCTGGAAAGGTATCTATCACTGTCTTCTCATAAGTAAAAGTTACATCTTTTTGGGGTTTTATTGTAACAAAAACTAAAACCCATAAAAAAAAAACATGAAAAATAGGAAAAACAGTGCCAGCTGATTTCTGTTACAAAATCCTTAAAATATTGATAGGCATCTTTCCAAAACAAGATATACTTCTAAACAAAAAAGTTGATTTTCAAATAAATATGCAAAAAGAAATTCCTCCTAATATTACCTACAACGATAACATGAACCAAAAAGTTTAAATAATATTCCATAACATAAATTTACATCAAGCAACAAAATTAAGAACCAAAAAAAATATGCAAAACAAATAAGCTAAATAAAGGTCATGACCATAAATAACCTAAAGTATTAAATTTAAACAAAAGAACCAAAAAGTGCCAGCTTCTTCCTTCTCTCACTTTCTTTAATACTCTACTAACCTACATATAGAGACAACAAAAAGAGTAGTGATACTTGATCTGAAGATAACATTAAGGTGTGAAACTCAGTTACCATTCCTATATCCACACTGTTTTCATTTATAAATGCTCTATCACTGATATTCAGCACTCTTCCTCTATAAATATAGCACATTTTAATATATATATATTTTAAGAACATATCTCTCCCCCCCTCTCTCTCATATATATATATATATATATATATATATATATATATATATATATAAAATCATACATCTATCTCCTTAAAGCTTTGAAGAGATTCCATCAAATATGCCTTAGGTGAATCTTAAGCATTAAGTAACAGTCCTTTACACCTGACACCATTGTTCTTCAGCAGGTCAATAATTGTATTGTTGACCCAAATATAAGTCAGTTTTGTTTAAAAAAGAAAAAAAAGGAACATATTCCAGGAGGTACTTTTGTCAAAAAATATGTTAATTGTTGTTTGAAGAAGTGTTCTAATAGATTTAAATTGTTGTCTTGGCTTTCCAACTAAGATGATGTTAACCACCCAGCATCCCTGCCTTGTGAACTCGTCAGTTAATTTAAAAAAAAGCTTGGTTCATTGAATTTGAGAAAAATATCAGTTAGGAATGAATGTAATTTAGAAAAATACAAGGATCCGTATGAGAAAGGCATAAGAAATGGCTGGATGACTGGTATATTTCCTACTGACAGAAAACACAAAGATTTTTCTAATTTGACCTCACAATACCTAACGAAAGTCAGGTTGTATGTATATTCTAACCCTAACCTAAACGAGTAAATTAAGAGGCAAGTTCATTCCAGACAAGTGGAACTTGTATATATGATCTGTCATTAAAGACATTGAAAAAATGGTTGCCTCCTTAATCTGACTCCAGAAAGTACCTGAATCCACCTGCCATACTCTAGCTTTACAAGTCAGATCAGGCCAAAAATAGAGTATTGCTGTTACATCTGGGCTGGAGATGTCCAATATTCTTTTTCCAGTTTTGACAAAGTTCAGAAGTGTTTACATGCCTTTGTAGGTGATGTATTATTTTTCAACCACTTTTTTTCTAAACCTCTCACTATTCTATCACTATTTCAATGGAAAATGTTCTGAAGAACTACATTCTCTTGTTCTACCAGTTCAGATGTTTTACAGCTAAGACCTACCATAATATAATAATAATCTGCACTTTTCCCTTCAACATCTATATAACAACCTCTAGTATCTGACAATTTGATAATTAACCCACAAATTTGTGATATTTTGAAGTAATGCTGGGTTATCTTTGTTTAGTAACCATGATGCTTCAATCCTAAAACCATGCCCAATTTATTATAATCACAGATAATGTTATCAAGCATTTTTATCAAAATTATTTGGTACCAAGCACTTGAAATAATTGTTTTATTCATTTAAAGTCAATAAACTCTGTATCAAATTTTTACAAAGTTGTTTATTGCAACAAATTTATAACAATGAATGTAAATGGCTTCAGTTTTATATCCTTTGCTTAATCTTACCAATGATTTACCATTAACTGAAAACCTAGTGCTAAAATGATCACAATAAGCATCTTCCTCTCATTTTGTAATTTATTTATTTTTTTGTAGTATAGAAGGATATCTTAAGTAAGACTTGCTTTACAAACTGTACATTAGCATGCTTTTATAGTCAGCTGCCACATAATAGATTTAATATTGGATAAACAAAACTTTAATCTGTAGGTGTGATGATGACTTACATATGTTAGTAATGATTAACTTTGATTTTGTCTGCAGATTATCTTAACTATTCTTTTGTATATCAATATATAGGTGTGACTATTTGTCACAATTGAGATTTGCATATTCTTTACTTCCCTTCAAATATTCAAATATTTTTCCTAAATGCTATTTTTAGTTCAATTTTTCTGCAGGTCCAAATCATACCTTTTTTTTTTTATACCTGTCTCAAAGAACAATTTGAACCACATTTCAACCCTAACCACACTAAAAATACCTGTAGAAATAGAACATATACCAATATACATACAACCATTACAAAATCTTCGCCAAACAAACAATAACAAACCTACTGATGAAGAAGTTAAGCTATAAAAAAAGAACTAAAGAATAATAAAGCATCACTTGATATTGAGGCTGAACTTTTAGACAAAAACTTACTTTCTTGAATTCAATAACAAGTTTCTCAGTTTCATGAAGGAAGTCTGGAATTAGAAATGCATCCCCAAAAAGTGGAGTTTATCATGCATTAATGCACTATGGAAACAAAAGGGTAGTCCTTAAAACACACACACACACACACACACACACCCATACAGAGTTACCTCAATTGGGTTCATTATGGTGAAAGTACTAACGAACATTGTCTTAACTAGGCTCTTCTCATTTTATGAAAGTCAATGCCTCAAAACTTAATTTGGTTTTCCTTCTGGTAAGTGGTGTAATGGTAGCATATATTTCATCAAACAACTCCAGGAACTACCTCTTCTATAGAATATTGTATACCTGCTATAACAACCTCACAGTAGTATATGACCACATTAATAAAAACTTTTCATCCATAAAAAAAAAATCTTCCAAACTCTGATTCAACTGAATGTCTAGATCTGATAGCGGAACTATATCAGTCCACAAAATCATACATGTCTAAGTGAGGACCCCAATATGAAAACATTTCAAAACTTATTAGGGGTCCAACAAGGAGGAAATGAGAACTCCAGTTTATTTAACCTTTTCCTAAACTATATCCTGTACATATACAAGCACATAGAAAGGTTGCATACAACAGCTTTCTCAGATGAATAATTAAAGAGATGAGAGAGAATGAAACCTATAGATCTTAGCTAGGACTATCCTTCTTCAAACCTTGTGGACTGACATTACAGAATCACAAACAAAGAATTGTACTAAATACCAGAAACGATAGAATCTAGCTTTAATTTTTATGATAATTCCTTTTTTTTATTAAGCCACTGGTGTTGGTGCTAGGAGTAGTAGTAGTAGTATTTAAATAACTAATATGACAATATTCTAAAGTTAGACTAGGTACAATTAATGATAGTTTAAGACATCTGCATAAATATTAGTCTACCAGATATATCAACTTCACATGAAACATGGGAGATATTTTTTAACCATTGTTGGTAAAAGAAGGAGGTTCTTATATGCTATCAGATATGATCCATAAATATGTTTAGATATATTACATTTTAAAGAATGATTGTAGATAGATCATAACAAAAATCATGAAAAAAGATGAAGATGTTAGTCTGAAAAGGTGAGAAATGCTCTGTAAAGCTGCTATAAATTTATTAAATAATAGTTTTACATTTGAATTCTTTTTTTTCTTTTTTTGTAGGCTGCATTTTACTATTGCTTCTATTAAGGAACTCTTGAAGACTCTAGAGACATATGACAACCACCTATACCATTCTGTTACATCTGAAGATCGGAAAGCAATCAAAGAACTGAAAAGTAATGTAATTTTTTTTCTTTTTGCTTTACTCTTCTTTCTCATTTGGTCTCGTGTGTAAGACATGAGCTTTATTGTCATAAGAAATACAATTTTAATTCTTTTTGAAGCTGCTTGTGTTCACTACACTAACTACAGAAAGACATAAATCTACCTCTTCCTGCACTCTGTCCCAGTAATTGATATCTTGACAAAGATCCTGACACTGATATGTTACAATGGTTAACAGAGGAAAGAACTTGTACAAGTTATGGATTCTTTCCTTTTGGTACTATAGTTCCTTCTAATCTGTGCATGTAAGCTTATGCATATATATTTTACAACCAGTACACAAAAGAAATTAATAAGTGCAGGAAAGATTTGTTACCTAAAATAAAATAGTAATTAATAATTACAATTTTATAATCATAATAATTTTACTTATGGATATTAATCTCTAAGCTATTTCTGTTAACTAGTTAGTTGATTTTCCAAATACCACATTTGTACATAACTTATATCTTGTTCTGTTTTACACAAGCATTCATTGTGCACAGATAGAAAACAATTATACAACATAAGATTTTTACACACACTCATGACTATAGGGAATATTGGCTGATAACATTAAATATAGCACTATCATTTTATCCTACTTAGAAAGGAGATGGGTACTGACATGTAACAATCCTTATTCTAAAGAGGCATGGAATTACTTAGAAGGGCATTTAGAAAACTTTTTCATGTAGTCAGGACTTGGCACTGCCAATTAATCATCTTTGCTCAAAAGATACTAGGGATAATTCAGCAGGACACTCTGTCAGGCTTATAGATCAATGTGACAAACCAACCAACAACGTAATCTAGTATTTTCTTGTATTATTTGGAAAAGAGATGGATATTGGCCAGTAACTGACTCCTTTTACTATCTGAGAAGCTATAAAGAATAAATATCTGTGATAAGAATGTTTTTTTTCTGATGTCACTAAGGTGAAAAGTGTTTTTTATAACTGAAGATAAGTGCTTGTACTCAAAGAAAGTGGCAAAAAAGAAATATGTCCTAATGTATTTTTTTAAATAGAATTTAGTTTCATTCCATTATTTGTTCAGAGTAATATCATCATTCTTTTTGGTTTTCTTGCTTTTTTCAACTGGTACATTCTTCAACATTCTGAGAATTCTTAATATTGATAGTTCTGGATTTACATATCTCAGATTTTTGTAGATAGTGTCAGATTTTTTTTTTTTCAAAATTAGAAACCTCTTCCTACAGGTCCTATTGGCTGAACTGTAGGAATGAAGCAACAAAGATGAACAATTGATGAAATAAAAACCACAAATGAATATAAATTTTTTTGTAACTATAATTTTTGTAACTACTTTACTGTCATTTTGTGAATGAGATTTGAACTGTGCAGCAGTTTCCAATGGGACTTCATGATGATATGTACAGCTATAGCTGTGCTTTGTTTTCTAGATACCCCACTTGAGGTGTTGCTGTCTCACTCCCCATACAAAAAATGAAATGTGCAGAAGAACCACCCAGACCAATGATACATAAAGTAGACCTCATTTTCTTCATTTCCTTCATTAATATAAGAGGTCTACGTTCCAACTATCCAGAGGTTGAACTACATCAGGAGGTCAGGTCTCATCAACGGTGGCTTCATGTCCTTCTGGTAGGAAAGCAGATGAATTAATTTTTTTTTGTATGAACCCAGTTTCTTGCTTGAGTAAGCTACCACATGGTATAAGTGAAAAGCTGTATGCTATGCTAATCAGTACTTATACATCCACATTTGTCTCAAATGAAGCTGTAAAGTTCTCATTCTACAAGGCATTACAATATCTCCTTCAATCTATTTCTAGGACTGTTAAAATCATCTTGTTAGGAGATTTTAATGCTAGGATTGGAAGTGACTGAAAGATCTGGAGTTGTTTGGGGAGATATGAAACAGATAAAATGCATAACAATGGTTAATTGTTTCTTGAACTGTGTACAGTTTCAGCTTTACATTGAAAGGACACAATTCTAACACAAAGGTGATCATATAACAACATGGATGCACCCATGGGCCTATCAATGGTACCTAAATGTGACATGCAGGTTACCTCCAATGTATGATCCCTACAAAGTGCAGATTGTTGGACTAACCATGCACTTATATGTGCCAAAATGCATCTGATCATTAAGCCAACTAATGTTATTTAAGAGTGATGCTTTGTATCCACTGGATAACTCATATGTCAAACTGTGGTTCTCAAAAAGGCATGAAAGTGCACATTAATTTCTACAGGCTTTATTAATCAGGCCATGTTATTCACCTTGATGACAGCATAATTTATTTATTTATTTATTAACTGATTTGTCAGTTATTTTATCAGACGGCTGAGTTTTTCCAGAATTGATTGGGGAAAATCAGCTAATCCCCACTAAAAATTGAAACATTTCTTTTTTCTTTTCCTTTCAGAGACACTGATCAACATGACAGACATGCGTCAGTTGTTTTTATTTTTAATTCGGAATAGCCAGAATCAGAGACTTTCTTTTGTACGTGATGTTATTGTTACAAATCATACATTTCTCTTGTTGCTTGACCGATGGATCCGCGAAGACAAAGATGCATCAGCGAACTTTGAGATGATTCAACATATAAACCAGTAAGTAAACTTCTTTTCCCATCTATGGCTTTACCTTTCTGTGTTCCTTTTTCAATTGGGTGGTATTAGCCTGTCATTAAGAGTTTACAGGAAAATCCAAATCCAAACATTAGGATCAAAACTGACAATGATACTAGTCCAAATAATTTGTGGAATAATAGCAATACTTGATGCTACAAGTTCAGGTAGTGCTTGGAAGGCTGGAGAATGCACCAGCTACCTCATAGAGATCAAAACAATTATGATGAAGATGCTAGTCCAGAAGAGTTGCAAAATACTGAAAATACTTTATCTTAGTATTTCAGCAGTGTGAGGAAGGCTAGAGAATGAGCTGACTTTTAAAAAAGTAATAAAAATGAATGTGCTAGTTTATAAAATTTTTAAATGAAGCATTTTTACTATAATTATTTTTACTTTTACTCTATCGAATTTTGGATTTTTCATCCCAGCACTGTGTCAGCACTCTTCATTATAACCATTATTTTATTACTAGTTTTACTTTATATTATTGTTTCTTTTTATCCAAGCTCTATTTCAATTAACTTTTTTCTAAAACAAATAGTTACTTCTTTATTTCTGATTTTGTGTTAATTGTTCTATAGAGTTTATTGGAAACTTCTTTTAAGTGGGCATTCAGTGGCTTTCCATAACTTTCTGCAGTGTTGTTCCTTTACAATAACTCACAGTCCTTGTTCTGCCATCAGAAGCTCATTAGATATGCTACTTGATGTTTCCCCCTGTCCCTATTGCCCTCAATATGTTCTGTGAGTGTCAAATTCTCTAAGCCAAGTTTCTTTTTCAGATTATAAGTGTCCATTTTGTTTCCATTTAGCTTAAAACGTCCTTGTTGCTCACATACATGGTATTGTCAGCATTCTTCTGTAGAACCAAATCTTTTTCCTCAAGTTTCCTCTTCATCTATGAGGAAATTGTCCAGTATGGAATAAAATTAGAAATAAAATAATAGTGATAAGGAAAGGCATATCAATCCTGAGTGTTGGAATAAAAACAACAATAAGATTTGAATTCATATGAAATTACATACAGCTTCATTTCAAATTGCAATTATACATATTATCAAATGTTTTATAAAAGATTTTTGGGGTTATATTTTGAAATAGAGGCATTTGCATTTGATCTGTATTCATTTCTAATGTTTTCTTTTTCTACAGATTTGCCAGCATTTCTGTTATGCAGCAGTATGCACGTCTCTTGGAAAACTTTGATAATAACAGTACTGCAGTAAATGACAGTATCTTCACAATGATGCATCATGTTGCAGGAGACTGCAACAAACCTGAAGTTCTAATGCAAATGACAATCTTAAAAATATTCACAGATCTTTGTGATGAGAGCAAGTTCATCTCAAATGTACGTAAAACATATTCTTTTCTTGTTTTTGTTTCTGAAAAAATCAATTTTATTTGGGAGTATTCATGACTTTTTTCTTGATAAAGTTCTTTTTGTCTCTTAAAGTTTAACTTCTCCACTTGCTTATCTCATTCTTTGGTTTTCTTGAACTGGCTTTTTAGTGTTTTTACAAGATATATTTTTATTCCTGATTTTTGTGTAAATATTTGTTCAAAATTAAAGTTTGCAGCATTTTTTAAGTGAATTTCAAAGACAATACTTAGATATTTGTACATAGTTATTCAGCCACATACATACCATTTTGTTCCACTAAATTTTGCCATCTTTGAGGCAGCTTCATGATTCCGTCCTCCCAAAACGTGGCATCTTTCTGGCTGATGAATTAGTTTGAGTGGTTTTTACTGACTTCCAGAGAATTGAAGTTCTTTCCATTAAGAGATCTTTAGAGATTGAAATAAATGTTAATCCAGAGATGCAATATCAGGTGAGTATAGTGGATGTAGTAGGACATACCAGCTAAACTGTACCCATTTTTGCTGGGTCTGTTAGGAGATAGTATTGTCCTTATTGAAGACTAAACCCTTCCAATTGGACAATTCTGGGTGTTTTTGATTGATTTCAGCCTTTTAATTGTGTGAATTCAAAATCTGGGTTTGTGAGAGGAGCTTGAAATCCCATGAGATACACAGGACCAACTTTTTAAGGAAAACTGGTTTTTAGAGTGATTAATGATGACTTATCTCTTTTTCCCAAGGACCTTTTTCAATTCACATTGTTGCAAATAATCCAATTTTCATCATCTGTGATCAGTTTTCTGTTTTGCTGTGTTTGAACAGACTCACACATGGAAATATGGTTCATTGAATTTTTTCCCATTATCATGAGGCACCCAAACATCATAGCAATTCACATATCCAAGTATTTTCAAATGTCTCACAATGCTCATATGAGATATGTGAAATATCTCTGTGATCTCAACATTTCAATTTTGATCATCCTACTGGGACGTTCTCAGTCTTTAGGATGAAAATTTCCACTTCTGAATCTAGCAAACTACTTCTGTACAATACTCTCAACTATGGTACTATAAATGGAACATATATTTTTACTGTTTTTCTTTCTAGAAATAAGGAAGCATTCATATAACAAAGATGCATCTCATTTTCCTCCATTTTAGCTTTTAATATACAAACAGTTAAAATTTACAATTCACATATAAATCATATAGAAAGACTGTCACCTTTCAGAATATGTATATATGTCATTAATTTCAGTTGTGTGTGAAACAATCACATGTTTGAATGACATCTATTGAAAAATCTACAAACTTTTCTTCCAATATTTCTAATTAAAAATGTACTTCTTATACATATTCAAAGAAAGATATCAATAAAATTAAATTTAGTTTAACACTATCTTCGATATTTGCATTCTTAATGTTATTATCAGAGTTACCATTAAAATTGCTACATATAATTACTTATGCTTTATTAGGGTAAATAAAATTAAATTTAATGTACTAGAAAATAATGCCAATGTTCATCTTCCATACTTTATTTTTTCATTCATGTGAGGCATTTGTGTCTCACTGTCATATTTTACTAAAAACAGCTATACAAATTAAGGTAAAAATAATAACAGAAAGTTTTTAATTGTTATAAAAAAAGTCAAACTTTATGCCAAAATATACAGCCTGTTGAAACTAATCAAGAGCACAGAGTGCAAAAAAAATAAGCACATGTGTTCAGTGTTACAAGACAAAGGTTGTATTTAGCAAGTTGCCACATCTATTTATATTGTAGCAAGTAACTATAGAATGGTCATATGTACACCTGAGGCAATATAAAATATGCGACAAGATACACAAATACATAAATGCATTTATAAATTAAAATAAATAAAATGTTTTTAATCATTCATTATTTAAGCAAGTATAATTCTATCTGGTATATCATCATGTTTTGACAGGAAAATATGTTGGCCTGTATGCCATCAGATATAGCCTTTTAACTCTTATGGGAATTGTGGGATATTAACTTTGGTTCACCTCCTTTTCTGTTCATGTTTTTTTCAATTTTATTTCGTTTCATTGTCTTTTATTTTATTTCTGTTCCTTATAGATTTAAAATTTTGGTAATATAAATAATCTCTGAGATATTAATGAAATCTGTTTCTATCTGCTAACCAAACTTTTATTACTAACAACTGTACTTTCATCCTTTCCCTTATAATTTATTGATTCTGTCATTTTGGAATTTACTAAAATATTAAAAAAAAATATAATGGTTGATTGAAAGATGCAGTCTCTAATCCTATAAAACAAGTTTTAGACCAAATCAAAATGAAATAAATTTTTTTTCAAAATTACAATTTTATTTTTAGTCACTATTTAGTGCTACAGTTTTCAATCCTATCATGTCAATGCACTTCATCTACTACTTCATTAACAAGTAGAATATGGTATGTTGAAAATTTCATGTCAAATAACAGTTACTAATAATAATGATAATAATAATGTCTGTGCGTGAATTGCATCATGAATAAACTAAAGCCAAAATTTGCTTGTTATTCTTGCAGGAGGCTGGTGACTTAATGGAGTATGTCATACACAAGTTCATGACGACTGCAGCGGAAGATCCTGGCCTTTGTGCAAAGTACTTATTCAGTATGGAAATGAAAAATCTTAAGTAAGTTAAGTAATATTTCTTGATTGATGCAAGTTCTCTAATATGTTGCACTGGAGAAATTATCCTGAAATAGTTGAGTTATTCCACCTTGATTCCATACATCCTACTTAGAACTTTAACAAAATTAAAATGGTTTATTTGTTGTTAGAGTGTTGTCAAATTTGAAGAAGCATCCTTTTCTCTATTTTCTGTCGCTTTACTTATTTATTATAAATAAACCATTTTTAAAATGTCTTTTGTAACATCTGTAATATTCTTTAAAAATAGAAATTATCTCTTTATGGCAACAGAGGAATTTAATATATTCCTTATATTGTGAACTTTCTACTATATAAATTTTAGTTTAACAAGTAGAACAGTATTAATGTTGTATTATGTAAATGGACTATACTTCTGGGTCTATAACTGAGCTGAATTTTCTCATTCTTTTAGAAGTATTAGAAGTTATGTCACTGTGATGTAATATTCTGCCTAAACTGTTATTTGCCCTTTCAATGCAACAATCTCTATATTAGTTTTCAACATAATTTCCCCCTTTATTAATTCCTCTCAATTAGTCAGAGCTTGAATATTATATAATTTCAAATCAAAATTTAAAAATTCATCTCTATTATGTTTTTTCTCAATACATCTTATGAGTATTAAATTTTTCAAGTTGTCCTTCCTCATAATGCCATAGAAATTTAAACTCTCTTTATGATTTAAAGTATGTGTCCTACAAGTTACCATTTTCTTTAAAATTTCCTTGTTGCTCACCTGTTCACTTCATAGTATTCTCAGCATCTGTCTGTAGAATCACATCTCTGTCATTTCAAGTCTCTTCTTTATCTGTAAGAAAAGAGATCAACATTCACTGACATATAGGATGATAGATATGACTATTCTTTTCTTTGTTTCTAAATTTTCCCATTTTTTTAGTGTTTTGCTTAGTTTTTTGAAAGCATTGTTAGCTATTCCAATGTGCCTTCAGATTTCAGTTATTACACTGCCTAGATAGTTAAATGTCTATACTTACTTGATTCTGATATCTCCAATTTGAAGCACATACCTCTCTGTGCTGACTACCTAACTACCATACATTATTAAAGTTTAGTCATTTCTTCAAGCTTTCCTTTGATACCTTGCCTAGGAATTCTTGCAGTTTTCCTTCTGGGAATCTGTTGTAGCATACCTATGGACGATAATGGGTATGTCCCCATTCACATAAATACAGTAGTAAATACTGTATGTTGATCTGCAGTTAAAGATTCATTGTGGAATTCACTTGACTCACTTCTAACAGTTGACTACTACTTCTACATGCCGCAGGCAAACCTTATATGTGTTGTTCATGTCCTAAGTATTATCGTCAGTTACCAACCTTCATGTGATTATTCTATACAGTAACCTTTCCTAGGTTACAACAATCATTAATTAGAAATGGACAAATGAATTTGAGGTTTCAAAACTATGACTCAAGTGTGCATGTTGACAATGTTCAAAAGGTTTAGTGCAAATGTCAGGAAAATAGAAAACTTACAAAAATCAAAAGGGTTAATCTAGAGAAAAGACATGGTTTCAGCTTAAATTTCTGAAATTAAAGGCCAGAAACTATATATTTTGATAAAAAAACAATAAAGATGAGGATGCACTTCAGAAAGAAAAAATAGTGATAGATATTGTTTGTTTTAATGTTAGTTCCATATTAATTGTATTTACAGAAAAAAAATTGAAGTTCAAACTTTAAAAATTAAATTTTATAACATACTGGGAGATTGAGATTTTTTTTGTTTTTTATCCAGCATTGATATGAATGACGAGGACCATATTAATGATGCAAATTCTGATATGTCAGTTTGCTCAAATTCAGAGTTTTCATCAGTCATCCACCATGCCACCTCTTCAAGCTCATCTTATTTTAAGGTAAGTTGCATTAGCAATCAACACCTGGTCATTGTTCAAACAATAATATACAGAGCTACATTTGACATGTTTTTTTAATGACACTTTGATATTAACTGTATATATCTGGGAATACCTTAAATCTCCCCTTTATCATAAATAGGTAATATTCTGTTGGGGATGGATTCCTAGCGTCTAGTTAAATTAATCTTTGTAAGAAAATCTATTAAACAACAGTTACACCCACCTGAAAAAGAATGGGGAATCAATTAGCTGAAACATGTTTAAAAGAAAATGATGTTAGTTTACAACTTTGAAAAGAGTCCTTACCATATTCAACATTGTTTGGATAAGTGAACCTCTTGTTTGTGTACTTTTTGTTGTTGATTTGTCAATATGTTGTTTAAACAACATTGAATATGATGCTGGTTTGAATATTTCATGGAGAAATGATAAGATTTCATCTGTAAAATTTAGATTACATTTAAAACTATTCACTCAGTATAAGAAGAATGCTGGAAAATGAATCACCCCAAAAGAAGGCTGGAAAATGAATAACACCAAATTTTGTTTCAAAACAATAATGAAGATACTAGTTCAATTAAGGTATGGGGTAATGAAAAAACTTAATTTCAGAACATCAGACAATGCATAAAAAGGTTTGAAAGTGCCAGTTAAAATGAAATTGATATAACAAAAATGTAGATGTTTGTCCAAACAAAATAAGATAACTTAAACAAGGTGGGACATATTTTTTAAATGTTTTCTCTTGGGATTTTATACTATTTGGCTGTTTGAGCAGACAGTGCAAAATCAAAATAAAGAAATATAGTTTCTGACAAAACTCAAATGCTACACTTTAGAAGCCAGTTGTATTTTAATAAATTTGGAGATTTCAACTCCTTTGATCCTCTCTGTATTGAGAAAATTGTTTGAAAACAATTATTTGAAAAACATTTGAATTATAAATTGTTTGAATGGAAATTAATCAAAAGGACAATTATACTAAATGATAATTATTCGAAATACCTGTTTGAAATACATATGTGGTCTTGCTTTGAGAGAGTCAATGCTGATTTACTTAAAATGCCCTTGAATGATGGCATGGAGCTTTTTTGCAGCAAGGGTCATCCCACAATATGGAAATTTTTAGATGCTCTTAAAAGAGAACAGGACTTGCAAGAAATTCATATTACAAAAGTAAGAGCAGGTTGTCAAAATATCAAAAGTGCTAAGAAATACTGCAATGTAAATAGAAAACTTAAAAAATTAGTGGCATCCTTTAATGATTACTCTTCAATAGTTGACTATTTGTGTGCAGTATCATATAACTTAAGGGTATAAAAATTTTTTTTAATAAATTGTTTTATTAACGATATTTGTATTTGAATAATTATCATTTGTATATTTCCTCTTTTAATTTTTACATTTTTATTGCAATAAAGAATTTTGCATTTTGAATAATTATCATTTAGTATAATTGTCCTTTCAATTAATTTTCATTCAAACAATTTGCAGTTTGAATAAATGTTTTTCAAATAATTGCTTTCAAACAATTATTTTCAAACAGTGTTCACATAATCATTTCCCTCATGCTGAGGAATAAATAAAAAAAGCTTTAAATCCTATTTTCTAAAGACATCTGAATAATTCATAAATATTGGGGAAAAGTTTTTTTTTTTTTTTTTACAAACAGGAATTGAAAGAGTTCTTTGTATTCTGTTATTCTCTTAGGATGAAACTGAAGAAGTCGATGAAAATATCATGACACAGATGCTGGAGAAACACCTTGAATGCTTAAGTGATGAAAGCATTATCAATTTCTGTGTGCAGAAATTACATGAAGATGGATTGGATTACCAGCTTCTTTGGCTACAAACTTTCCTTCTTGAAACTTGCTTCATCCGATATGGTCAGTACCTTCTTCAAAAATGCAAACTGCCCATTAAATTGTTTTTTAAGCTTGTTAACTCAATTCATTTAATAGTGAATGCTCCATAAATATGAGCTTATAACATAATTGGTACTACTTGAATTTACTTTCTTATCTTGAAACTATTATGTGGTATAATGAGTATTTAATTCTACCTTATGTGAAACACATGAATACCTAAAGTGAAACATGTAGAGAGAGAATAGTAATTCTTATTCTGCAGTAATTATTTACTTGATGAATAACTAATCCGTCCAATATAAGACCACAGATGGCAAAAACTGAAATTATATTAGAAAAAATATACCTTTGGGAGAAATTTAGAGTTTAGGAATTAATCTACTTCAATGTAGATTAATTCCTATCCTAATTAAACCCTACCAAATATAATGATATAATTTATTGAGTTTGTTTGCTGCAAATATTGCACATGTAGATAATTTAAAATAATAAATCTTTATTCTTTCAAGAGTTCTTTGCTCTGTTGGTCTCATTGTTTTTGTTACTGCAAGGTGAAAAATTCAAAGAAGCTATATACTTTAGCCTTGTAGGTAAATGTAAAAGTCCAGGCCAGTGTTCATGCCTTAGCATGAAAATGATTCAAGAGTAATTCCATATCTAAAATATTAAATTATCATGTGTTGTGAGGTTTGGTCTAGTAAATTGGTTGTATCTGTATATTTGCGACCTTTTATATTTAGAGCTCTCTAAAATGTAATAAAATATTCTTTAGAAGTCCAGTAACAAAAGATTTAGGTAGAAAGCAATCAATACAATATGGCAGAATAAACCACCAAAAAATGTATTAGTTGATAGTGAACTCACAGGGCAACCATTCTTCTTTTTATACCCTTTCAGGTTATGGGTGATCATAACTTCCACTATTTCCTGTTTTTTGTTGCTCAAAGTAATTTTTTATCCTTTACTATCCTTCTTTGTCTCTGTCTCGCCATCCATTAACATAATCTCTTTAAGTAGCTAACTTTTTTAAGTAGCTAACTTTTTACCCTTGCTTCTATGTGAGTGTTAAATTCTCTAAACCTTTTTTTCATTGTGCCCCAAGCATTTCAGCTGTCTCTTTCTGATTGTAAGTTTCTTTGTTCCTATTTTTCTGAAGACTTCCTTATTGCTCACATGTTCTGTCCATGGTATTCTTAACATTTTTCAGTAGAACCACATCTTTATCACTTCAAGTCTCTTCATCTTTGAGGAAACTGTCCAACATTCACTACCCTATAGAATATTAGATATTACACAGCAATTCAGTACACTTTTCTTGGTTTCTAACAATATTTTCCTATGATTTAATGCATTCTTTAATTTTTGGAAGACATCTTTTGCTATACCAGTTTACCTTTTAAATTTCTGTCAGATTTTTTTGTTGCCTATTACTATACTTCTTAGTTAAATTTTTGTACCTGCTTGATTCTGTTGTCCCCAATATGTAGCTCAAACTCATTCTTTATGGCCATTAAGTTCTTTATCTTTGTCTTGTGACCTGAAAATTCTTTGGTCATTTATTAAACATTATTCAGATTATTACTAAAAAGTTACAAGTTGAATTAGAAATTACTTAATTCTCCAAGTTAGAGAACTTTAACTGTATTCTGCTAAGTTGTGCTGTTTTGGCCATTTTACAATAACAAACCTACAAACAAAAATAAGATCAATATAATATAGATACTTTATGCCTGGTAAGATTTACTTTCTTTGATTATTCCTTCTCTTAGTATCCTGGATATTTCTGATTGAATAAATCTCTTGTCTTCTGAAAAAATATCTCCTGCATTTCATGGCTACTCGTTTACTGTCTGTAGTTAAATTATTGAAGAGAGAGGGGTATTGTACATCTATAGCGGCCAGGCCACAGATATCTAACACCAGTTTGGGGACTCCAAAAGGGAATTTAATACTTGGCTACTGACTGAGAATGGCATAACTTCCAAGATAGCCTTTGAAAGACATATAGAAAATGCAGTTGATAGTGTTGTCTACACTGCTCAATTGGGAGAAGGAGCATATTGGCAAACCTTTGAAAAGTGCCCTTTTTTCTTACTCTTGTGACATATTGACTTTTGCACAGGACATGGATAATGGGAGTGAGAAATGAGTTCACAAAAATAACATTTACACCAAGCCAAAGCAACAGTAACAGGTTGTTCAAAAGACTGAGGCCGTGAAAACTATGGTTGCCTTCACCACAGTATTTAAATGTTCAAAGTGAAAAAAATATTCTGTAATTATCAGGTAATGATCCCATGAATTGTTTGGATGACTGATCTTAATGAATACAGAATTCTTTGTTTAACAAAAATTGGAGAGAAACTCTATGTATAAAATACTGAATCCATTAATTGATTGGTCTGATCAGATTACTTTTTTGCAATTTTCTAATTAGCACTACTCAGTCAAGGCCTGTCTCAGATGAGTAAGCTGAAAAGAGTATAGAGGTCTGATCCACCAAACAGCATCTCTTTATTGTACTAAGAAGAGTACGAGTCAAGAGCACATCCAGATGCCTATAAACAGTGGTTGACGAAACTGGGCAATTTCTGGATGAACACCTAAATGATTTTGAAGTGTATGTGGATAACCAACATTAAGATTCTGGGTTACATTTATCCTTATGAGATGAAAAATATATACCAATTTTTTTTTTTGTTACTGGTTTGCAATATCTGAACAAAAGAGACTCTAACTTTTACTCATGAGGAAGATTATAAATTGAAGCACCTATAACATTGTAGTAAAAAACAAAGAAATAAGAACAATACCACTGATCCAAACAAATTTTAAAGAAATCTTAAACCAATTCTTAAAATTACTAAAAAAAAATCACTTTATTTCTGTTTCAAACTTGAAAATTCTTTGGTTATTTACTTCAGTATTTTATTTTGCATTTTTTGTCTTTTTGCAGTTGGTATGACATCAGAAAAATGCCAAGTTGAAGAGCCTGTACCTTTATATTTTTCATGTAAGTTTGTAACATCATTTAAAGCAGAATTTTTGGTGAATAATATTGGGTCCCATGTGTCTTGGGATATGACAATAAGACATTTTAAAATATTAATAAGTAGAGACTGAAATTAAAGAATTGTTTGAATTTCCTCGATGAAGCATTTTCACTATTATTGATTTCCAACTAGTTTTTCTTTCATTTTATTTGTTGTAGTTCTCTGTCATAAGATTGTCACATCATAGCAATATTAGTAAATTTGCATGACATCAGCTGGTTAGCTTTTATAGCTTAAATGATAAGGTGCTGTTTTGGTCTGACAAGCTTTCAAGTATGAAAGTTGGTTTTGTTGGAAATTAATTTTTTATTTTCCATCTGTTTGCATAATGTTCATAGAATAAATTTTAAAACAACCTGAGCATTGTTATAAAGCAAAAGGAATATTAGTCAAAAATTAATAATAAAAATGCTGCATCTAAGAAATTCAGAAAATATCAGTCATATTTTGGAAATACTGATGAAACATCTATTTTATTTATATTTCATTTTAAGAATGATTAAAAGTAATAGAATAAGAAAAAAGAATAAGTTCTGATAGCTGCTCAGATTGACCCAAATGAGATTCATCTTTGATTGCTTTTACATTTTCATATTTTCTTTTAAACAGTACAGAACAAAGATATTCCACTCATTCCATACAATGACCGTCAGGAGGAAGCTCTCAATGATAAATTCTTCTGTTTACTTCTCAAATATCTTGGATTTAAATCGGGCAATGATAGCAGTACCATATTCCCAAGAATTCCCAAACATCTCACAGCAGAACAACTTCTGTCCAAAGCTCGGGAAATGGGAAATATTAAATGTGGTAATTATTTACCAATTTCTTTTTTGTTTTTGTGTTTTTATATACCTGCTTTTAATTATACCTGGTTTCATATTGCTTTCAATTATACTTGGTTTCATATCGCTTTCAATTATAATTTTATAAGACAAAAAGATTCAAAAGAAAATTACTCATTAAAAAAAACATTTGATGGCACATAAAACTTCTCATCACTTCAGATTTAATATCAAAATATGACATTGAACAAGGACAAGTATCTATGACTATAAATATTTGCCTACCAGAAACCTCAACTTTATATATAAGACCTGGGAGATTTTTCAAGCCATTTTTGTGGAAAAATATGGAGACTTATATGCTGTCAATCTTTAAGAAAAACTTTTTTACAATGTCATATTTACTAGTTTTGTATTTTTACTTTATTTGAAAATTTTATTTCATTGTACTGTTATAAAATCCAGATTCTCGATCATATTTTTTCTAAAATGTAATGTTGTGTTCAATATACAGATCTTTCCCGCTTGACATTCTATCAAGACTAACCATTAATTTATTGTAGGAGAATTTCATAAAACTGATTTATTCTTTACACTGATAATTATAGACTCTTGAAATATTTCTGCTTTGTTTATACAAAGAAATGTAGATATAAAGATCAAAGAATATATCTGCCAAAAAAGATAAATATAAAATTCTGTAGAATAATAAAAAGAAAACTCAGGATTTCAGATAATATAAGAATGTTGAACAATCTGTCTACAATACAATTGTTAAAAACAACAAAGATGACAGTATTAATCAGGACAATATGTGAAATAACATTTTAATATTCAAACAGTTTTTTGGTTATTGAACCCTTTCTTTATATTGCTTTAGTTGCTACATCAGTGTTGATCCATTTTATGGCCTTTTTCAATAAAAAAGAGGATTTTTTTTTCCACAGAAAAAAGTTGGCAAACAAAAAAAATGGTGATGGCTTGGCTTATTCCCAGTAACATTAGCCACACTGACAATATTGATACATTGTGGTAATGACCAAAGCAACAAATTGAATGAGGTCATTTGTTTAAACAATGTTTGGAATATTGATGACTCTTCTTTAAATTACAGAAGATTTTAATGTCCTTTTGTTGAGTGTTATTATCTTATATATGTGCTTTCATTTTCTTTTATAAAATCTGCAGCTAATATGGCAGAAAGCAAATGTCCTGAAAGTCTACGCTATCAACAGATGCAGATGAAACGTGTCTATGGTCTGCACAGTAAACTGGTAGATGTGTTAGAAAATGGAGATGCCTCTTCAAAAAGATGGATTCATCGAATGCTGTCATTAAACATAATGGACATATTTGAGAAAACAGACAATGAAAGAAAAAATATTACAGAAGGCAAGACTCAAACAATATTACAATATATTTCTTTTATTGCAATTCCTAGTCATATCATCTAGCCTCTCTTTGTGAGTTTTATGGAGAGATTATTTAGGTAGCAGTAGGGATTTTTTGTGTTTCTTCCCCCAGCAGATATGTTAAAAACAGAGTAGAGTTGTCAAAGAAAGTGAATGTCCCAGTTGATAGATTAAACGCTGAGACATACATTTGTTTGAGATGTTTGAGCAGGTCTGTCTAAAGAAAACCAGAATAGGAGATTCTTAAATAAGGATTTGCAGAAAATGAAAATATTAAGGTTTCTTATTGATAAAACCAGATCTAAGACTTCATTTTTCTCTTTGTTTCCTTTTTGACAGATTTCAGTGATCATAAACATTTCTTTTTTTATGTCACTTCTATTTATTCCTTCTTTTTTTTTTTCTTAATTTCTTAAAACTTCTTAGAGTGCTATCATGTTGCACAAAAATTGTTAAATTCTTCACTCCATTATATAAAGCATTTGTTTTTATCACTATAAAATAAAACAAATGGGGAATACATATTTGATAATGTCTATCTTTGAGAATTGAACTAAAAATAACATTTGATGGGAGTGGGGAGAAGACAGACATACAGTTGCTAGAATAAAATATATTACAAATTCAGAAATGATTAAAGCCATAAAATCAATATTATTCCAAGGCAAAAAGCACTTAGGTAAATAACATATGAATGCAAATAGATATTGTTTGGAGCTTCAAAATAGAAATCTTATGATTAATTGGTAGAAGGCTTAAAAAATGCTATGCATATGTTGGAGCTTGTAATTTTAAAAAGCAGCTATATCGGAGATTGTGGTAAGATACAAATGAATGTGATTTTTGATAATAGTACCAATAAAACTGGAGAGACTTTCATCAAATTAGAATCTAATTATGGATAATGGGCATGATTGCTATCATGTTTTAGATGGGGGAGTATCAAAATTTATATCTTACCCTAAGCACAATTAGTGGTGAAGAGATTGAGCCAACCCCTCTACCAGAAGTTGTAACATTAGGTATCACCTGAGTCATAAACTTTCCAGTGTTATTACTATTTTATAATGGGAACAGATTTTTTTTTCTTTTTTATATGTTCTGAAATCTTTTTATTTGTTTAATACTAACCACCACAATGCATCCCCAACCAGATGAAGAGCTTTCAGAGTTATGTGTATTAATAGAACTCGTTCTTTTTGGAAACACTATGCATATATTGGAGCTTGTAGTTTTAAAAAGCAGCTCTATCAGAGGTTGTGGTAGATGAGATGAATCCTCATCTAAAGTGTTATTCTCAGCCATTACATATTTCATAGCAATCTCATAGTCTATAGGTGGTATTTGGCTCAGAGTTCAGATCATCTGAAAGCAATCATAACTGTGTCACACTCTTCATTCTGTCCAAAGAAACATCTTGCTAGTTCCCAGCATGGATCTCTGTCATAAAATACTTTTCATTACTTTGTAATACTTTTAAGGTTTCAGTGTAAGAGATCTCCAATGAATGCCTTAAAATGTTTTAGCTCTTGGAGAATGTAAGGCTTTGGAACAGTGTAAGGCATCATTCAGAGAGAGAATCAGTTTCAGTATTTCCTGTGTTAATTGCTATACTTTTGGTTCTACAATTTCAATATGCACTGTTTCAGATTGAGTAGAGGGTAATAAGAATGGAATTACCATTGACTTAATATAGTAATATACTTTGCTTTGTTAGCAATTGAGGTAATCTTTGATATATGAGCTTGTCCATGTCTGCCGAAAAGTAATGGGATTTGATCAGTATCACTATGGTTGTAGGTCTTGGGTGTGGCATATTGGAAAAGATATCAACATTGTTTTGCATGATCCTTGTGGAATGAATGGTCTTGGACATGGTATTAAGATGTTGCATAGTCAGATCTTGTTATCCACAGCATAAGCTTTAAGTCTGTATGTAAGCTTTTATTTCTCCATATGACACACTTATTACCCAATAAAAGTTGGTAAATTGCAAAAGTCTACATTTACTGTATATGCCTTGAAAAGCAGCCAACAATAAAGTTGTCTTCTTTACAAGAGGAAGGAATATCTGTAACATGTTCAGTAATCAAAGACAGGTGTAATTAAGCAGCTAACAGTTCCCTGTCAAATGTAGACAATGTTTTGAAAGTTTCTTTGAATGAAAAGAGACCCATAAGAACATATAGTTAGTTATCATTCATCTGATACAATGCTGTAGTCAGTTTGGTAAAACTTTTTAATATTTGAGAATGCCTCCTTTTTGGAAGTGTTGGTGTGTTCCTCATAGCCAGTAAAATAATTGCCACAAACCTTAAGTACTTGTTATAACAAGAGAGTTGATTCTGACAACATTTTTTTTCTGAAAGTTGGCATTTTAATACTCATAAAAAGATAAAGATTTTTCTAAACTTTCTTTTGACCTCTAATTTTGTCTTCTATTGAAAGTCTATATTATAGCTGTTAACTCTTCTATGAATCCTTTCAATTCCAAGCAAGATTAAGCATTTGAAACTGATTGATATAATAATATCAATCAAAAAGTTCAAGTTTTAATGGAAACAGTTTTAATGGAAACAGTTTTAATGGGACAGTTTAAAAACATTTAACTTTCAAAAATATTATAGATAACATTTGAAAATGATTTAAATTCTTATTTCGCCTTGTATTTTCACTTTTCATTTTTTTTTCTCTCCTTGACAGTAAAAGCAGAAAATACTTTGTCCAATTTGTCCACATTCCAAAAGAATGTAGAATTTGCTGACATAACAGAGAAGAAAGTAATTTCCATCATGGTAGACCGAGCACAGTCACAGTGAGTTCCATTTCTTTCTTTACAACAGAAAAATGCAAATGAAGAGTTTAGGTCTTTTCTGTTTTTTAAGTTTACATTATCTTAATGAAAGATGATTGTTTTTATTTTCACATTGAAAGAATAAATATATTTATTGTGCACACACACATATACACCTGTATAACAGGAGTATAACTAAATTTTAAGATAAAAATTGGGGCTTAGTCCGCACAGACTAAAAGTGGAAATCCACTCATAAACAGTAGATCTATGAAGAACATTTTACTATAGACATGAAATATATTAATCATACCCCCACCAAATTCATTGCATTCAAATCTTATTTGCTTGAATACTTGCAACAAAACAAATAAAGATAAATCCTTTTTTCATTATCCATCTTAAATTTGACTTTCTTACAACAAATTGCTATAAAGCTATTAATAGAATTAATGAAAATAAATGCATTGAATCCTCATTATTTCAAATTGTCTATCAAAACTTACAAAAGTGTTTTTTATAAGCAATTATAGCTGCATATAATGCAAGACTGTTACGCTCAATAAAAATAATGATCATATTTTTTATATATTTAATAACTATCATAATATAGCTAATCCGATCTTTGAATAATCCAATCTTTTCTTGTACAGCCAGGTTGGATTAGCTTAACCAAGCTACAAATGGGAATGGAGATACAATAAACACCCATACATGCCCACACAAACACACAAGATTTCACAGTAACTGGACTTCAGTTTTCCAGAAAGCTCCCACAGTAACAGAATAATGACACAAGAAATGGTTACCACTTTTTCAAATTGATTAACTTAATTTTTTTAAATGAAATAGCAAACTGTGGAGTTTACTCATATTCTATCTTAATTTATTTGAATAAAAATACAAATTACTTTTATTGAAATTTGATTAATATCACTGTAAAGTGATGTAAAAATAAAAGGCAAAAATTTTCACTTGATGTTTAGTACTTCAGGCTTGCTAACACATAAGGGTAATTTTTTTGAGCATTTCATTAAATGATTTCTATGCCTGATTTGTTGTTTTGATGCTCTCAAAAAAAAACACCTGACCTTTGCAAAGCATGTCATACAGAATGATTCATTCATCAAAATACAATGGTGAATCTATTAGTTTTTTATCTTCAAATTAAGGGTTAAAAAAATATTTTAAGTGATTTCATATTTCCAGAAACTTTCAAGGTATGTTCCAGAATTAATGCTTGTTTATTTTTATAGAAACAACATACAGGAAGAACAATAACAATGTTGAATAGAATAAGTTTTCAGCCAGAAAATCTTTTACCATATAAATACCACCAATTGCCATTCATTTTTGCCAGCAATGAACAAGAGCTTGTATTCCCTTCTCATAAAATCTGCATCAGCAATGTTGACATACCTTTTTGCAGTAGTGAAGATAGCATTATCAGGAAAATGTTGACTGTGTAGTTCATCTTTTATCAGCCCAAGCATGTGAAAATAATTGGAAGGTACCAAATCTGGTATCACAGCTCAGTCAGAATTTTAACATTTTTAAAGGCCTTCAAATTAAAGTGGAACATGATATACATATGTTGCAAACAAAAGATTGTCTTCTCTGGTCATAATCTGGAAATTCAGCCTTCATTTTTGTCAGTGTCATGATATAAAAATCAGAGTTGATTAGTCTAAGTCAGAAAATCCAGGAGTATCACACATTTCCTATCCCAAAAGACAATGTACATAACTTTGTTGACTTACAGTTGTATCTTGAAACTTTTTCATTGATGGGGAATTTGCATGTTATCAATACATAGGCTGTTGTTTTGATTTGAGCTTTTAGTGGTGACTCTCTGTCTTCTCACTGGTGATCAGTGCTGGTGCAAGGGTTTCGTACCCCCCATCCTTGACTCTATGATATGGGGCCCCCCCACTCTACTACATCTCAATTTTCATAAGGTCATAGTCATATAAAATACAAATTTTATTGTAACTTAATTATGTACAATAATGGATCATATGCAATAGAGGTGAACAATTCAACTAGAAAAATTGCAAATAAATACATTGTATCTCTACAAATTAGAGATATTTCATAATAGATCATGCCATCTTAAATAAATCAACAATGTTTTGTATAAATTTTTAACATCATCTTGAGATTTTCCTTGTTAAAAAGTTGAATAATTTAACACATTCAACATTATGGATAAAAAATAATGAATTTTATATAGTGTTTTTTTAAGACTTAACATGAGCAAAACAAATTCACGGATTTGAACAAAAAAAGACCCCAGAATGATGTTTGAATTCACAAAGATATTTCATCCTTTGGTCAGTTATATTTAGTTAAATTTGTAACATATATAAATGTAGGTAGAAAAAAACAAATATTGATAAGGTAGTAATGGTCACAAAGCACTGCCCAGTGCCCCCAATCAGTTTTGAATCAAAATTTTATTTTATAAAAATTTGATAAGCTTAAAAAAAACTGGGAAGATGATTGACTTAAAAATTTTTTCCACCTAAAATCTTATAAAACAATCTTTTTCATGAGTGAATAAGTACTAAAAATTTAAATTGAAACTAATGAACAGTTAAGTGAACATAATGATCTGTGACACAACCAGATTAAACTGCTAGAAACAATAGCTGATATTGGTACTGTAAAAATACAAGATGTGCTGGCAGAATGTTACATACTTTTGACTTTTAATTTGGTCATTCTCTCAGTGTTATAACATAATATAACAACCTGTGAAATGTGCAGTGCTATCTCAGAAGAATTGTCAAAATATTTCATAGGAGACAGAAAAATTAGTTTCTGCTTTATATACCATATATTATTGTTTTAATTTCATATTGATGATAATTTACTTTCTTTGGTGAGTGTGAAACATTCACCTTCCATACCCGAAATATTTGCCTGATAGGTACCTCTATTTTACTTAGAGTTGAGATGCAGTAGATACTCGTTGACAATTAATAATTCTAATATATAAAGCTGAAAGTTTGTTTGGATATCCATTCAAAATTCTGAAATAAATATATGTATAGTTGTCAATCTGTTTGTATGTAAATATCACATTACTGTAACCTCAAATAAATGTGGTTTTATTATTTATACCTGCTAGCATGTGTCATATCTTACCCAGTTTATTAGTTCTTCCTTAATGGAATTAACTAATTTGCATCAGATTAAAAAATTAACTGTATTTTGTTGTTTCCAGTTTGATCTTTTGTGATTTTTAGAAATAAATGATTGTTTTGTTGATGGCTTTTATACTTAAATTGCTTAATTATTTAAATAAAACAATTTTATAACCAGAAAGTAATAACTAGATCACATCTTGCTTCCCTTCACTCTCAAGCTATGTTTAAAGGGAAGTAAGCAATGTTTACATTTTTTTAGTGTATTTGGAAAATCTAATAAATATAAATTATAACATGCTTTATATGAAATAAATGATTACCAAAATATTAAAACTCATTGAATTACATTAATTAGGATACTAATAGACTAATATTATTTTACAGCATATGTAAATCCACTCTCTCTCAAAAAATAGAAAAACAATGACTTTGTAATACTCCAGAGCAAAGGAAAGATACTTGGCTTGTGCTGTGTATCATTGCTAGTTTACATTAAAAATGTAAGAGAAACTATTTTTATGATGAACTATGATCAGATGATATCAGAATTTGTATTTCCCTTTTCAGCTGAGAATCACAAGTTCATACAATATATTTAGATCTGGTCAATCTGGGCTTTATAAGATGAAAGGATATTTTTTAAATTTCATTTACCAGGTGATTGATATTTTAAAATGCATTGAAATCAGTTTAAGAATGGAAATATGATATATTCATTACAGGAGTTATTAAAAGCAGAATAACCAGAATGTCACTTCTCAAACCTGTCATCAGGGCTACTTGGATGGCCAGTTGAATGCAAGATTGTCAAACCTTGAATTTTATTTAAACTGCTTGCACACTATCAAACATGATGATGCACACCATAAAATCTGCTATTAACTATAAAAATTAAAACAAAATCTAGTATTAATTATAGGTTTCTGAAAAATCTGGAATTAATTATAGTTTTATTAGAAAAAAATTGGTATTAATTACAGCTTTCTAATTGTAACCCATTAATGCCCAAAGGAATTCGAAGTAATTTGGTATACTAATCATTTGAATGAGGCATATAAATTCACAAAAAAATACTTATTAGTTCTGTAAAAAGAATTTCTCCCATTATTTACTGATGGTTATTTGTACAAAAATGGTATCTTTTCTGAAACAGTGGAGCTCTATAGCACACAGCATGAAAACTCTGAAATGACAAGTTCTGAAAAATATTAAGTAACATTTGTAGCCAAATTTGCCTCTTGACATGAATCCTGTTAAGCATGTTAGTAACTTTGATTTTCAAAATAAGGAAAATATTTAGAAAACCTTTTTACAAAAAAGATTTAATTCTTAATTTCAATTTAACCTGATCAGATATCCAAGAAGACTAATAAATTCAATGACTGAAAGAGTAAAAACATTTGTTAATGACAAATTTAGAAAATTTTAATTTGCAAAATAAAATATATTTAAATTATTCAAAGGCCCTTATTTGAAAAGATGTATCTGTTTTTGTCATGTCCCTACAGATCCTTGAATAAAAGCCATCTATTTTATCATATCTCTAGATCATTATGTAACAACTCTCATTTTAAAATAGAAATGTCTATTTATGTTTGTCATGTCTTTGTTTATAAACATCATGTACTAACACTCATATATTTTATAAAATGTGGCATAAACCAAGAAGAAATGCATGCACAGGAATTAATATAAATAATGAATAATGGAAATGGTGCATGTATGAGGAAAGTGGGGGTGTAACAGAAGTATTATTCCATTTTAATTTTTATTCCTTAAGTTTGGTTGTTTTAACATTACATTGTGATTGATATATTTTCCAGATTATCTTTATAGTATAAACTTATCTGTTTTCATTTTTTGTTCTAA